TAAATAAGGAAAACTTGCTTAATCAGTGCTTAGCGACGCGTTGCGCATGAACACCCTTGTTATTAGAATAGAATAGAATAGAATAGAATAGTTTATTGTTATCAAAAAAATGTTACATGACTAGTCAAAAATTTCAAGTTACAATAAAATAAAACATAATAGGTACAATAAATAATTAATAAGTAAACACAGTGTATATCCAAATTAAAATCAATGAATACAATTGAGTATGAGTATGAGTATGGGAACGTATGGCAAGCCCCAGATATATTATCATCCACTGATCTCCCGGGGTTATATTACCCCCTTTCCGTTCTCCTGCGTATCCCGCCAAATCACAGCATTACCTGTGTTTGTTGGATCCGAAGTTTTTACGCCGGCTGGTAGATCCACCCTAGGAGTTCGTGGATGACAGTGTCAAAGGTTAAGGCAGCTCCCGGGATTTTTGTCAGCCGGGTCGGGCCATACGTCCAGTTTAGGAAGGGTTTTTGGAGGACATTGAACTGACCCAAAACTAAGTACAATCCGGAATCCTCCTCAACCTAGGCCTTAGTAGTATCCCCATTCAATTGGTATTCTTGAATGGGGGTGGGTATGTTAGTTTTTTGCTTACTCCGGCTACCAACCTTGTATATTCTTTATTTATTTTATTGCTATATTAGTGTTCATACCGTTTTCATTTATTTATATCTTTGCCTTCTTACTTATTTTTTTTCCAAATTAATTTAAAAATAAAAATATTAATATACAAAATAGATAAAGCCGGCCCTGTGGTGTAACGCATCAATATTTGAAACCCGGCCCCTATGTCAGGCGTGCAACGCATGCCTCAATAGATGGCCTACCACTTCATTTTCACGTGGGGGCTTTGCCCATTTACTTTCTCCATCCTCCAAGCTTTGCTTGCGTGAGCTTATGTGTATATTATATAATATATATAATACAATAATATAATATTGCGACGCACCCACTTGATTTCTCACACGCACGCTGCCCTCTGCAATGGTCAATTGTTGCCTGGTTTCCTGTTAAATTAGTATCTATATAAATTCAATTAGTCAATTAGTCAATACCAATACTAATACCAAATAATACAAATAATCAATACCAATATCAATCAATCAATTAATCAATATTAACGTTAATATCAGTATCAACCAACTAATCAATCAATATTAATACTAATATCAATATCTATAATGCCAATATCAACATCAACACCAATACCAACAATACACCATCAATACCAATACCAATACGATTATATCCATATCAATCAATTAATTAATTTATTAATTAATTAATTAATCACTTTATGTAAATATCGATCTTCAAAATAGAGCCGGCCCTGTAGTGCATATAGTGGAATGCGGCCTTATGGCCTGCTTGGCTCTTGAGTTCTGTGCATTAGTTTGGCTTGATTTATGAGTGTGACCCTAAATTTATTTATGATAAATTTTTGTCTTCTTGCTTGAATTGGTTTATTTGCTTACGCCTTTTACGCTGGTTGTTTACGTTTGTCTACTATGAGAAAATTAGGTTGTTTATTTAACAGTTACGGAAATGTTCTTATTATTTTTTAAATTTAATTTTTAAGACGAATAGATTTCTTAGATTTTTTTGCAACATTGTGAAATGCTTATATAAACATTTAACGATTATACGGTAAGGTAAGACATGCAATTAGAAGAATTACTTAGCTTGATTATTAGGCTATAAACCTGATGCTTTGTCTTTCGCGGGGTGGCCTTCTCCTGTAGGTTTTTGCATAGAAAAAGGATATTTTTGGAACGCTCCGATCCAGGTGCGCCGGTTGACTTATCGTTGCTGCCTAGCCTCAGTTAGGTACTTATTCACTTGCACACTTTTACGGCGTTATCTCACAATTTTCGCACTTCTTGCACTTGTTTGTTTATTTATGTATTTATTTATTATGTATTAATGATTACCGATATTTCCGGATACTTTGTTTCGTTTTTGGTACTTTACGTTTGTATCGTATACGCCACAGGAGGGATCTTGACGCATCCGACCTCTTCGAGCATCAAGACGGTGAAAATCAATGAATACAATTAATACAAAAAACATTATAAACATTAAAATAGCTGGAAGTAGTATATTGTTATATATATATATAACATAGTATATTGTTATATATTGTTATCCTTAGCCGTTAATTCGTAAGCAATTTTTAATTTTAAAAAATCAGTGGTTTGCCCCTCGGAAAAATTTCAAATTTAAAAAATTCAAATTACACAGATTTTATACCATTTTTAAATTATATTATTTCTTTGAAAAGTATACCTTGATTAAAAAGGTATAGCTCCAATTTGAAATAATTTAAAATTACATACGTTACGTATGATACGTATAAGCCGAGTTCTGCATAATATAACCAATATATAAGGCAAGTTTTGGAACGACAGTCAATTTGTAAATTAATAAAATAATAATAATTTATTTATAATAATAATTAATAATTTAAAATTATTTTAAATGGAATAAGGTGAGTTTTAGAATATTACGACCTTTTCAGGCTATAGCGGGCTACATGTTAAATGTACAGACACCACTAACTCATTTTTATTAAAAAGTGGATAAGCCGAGTTTTGGAATGGACCTCCTCATAATATATAATATTATATTATGGAACATTATTTTTTTATTATGGCATGTATAATATACATGCCATAATACATTGTATATGATTAAATAGTGAATTCAATTTTAAAATTTACCAGTTCAGGACATTTATGGGGATTTAACTCTGTGCTATATGTCTTTCCGGATAGGTTTCCTTATATGGGTAAATATGGAATTCTATATGAAAATATACCACTTAAAGATATTTATAAAATTTTCTGTTTTTTTTGCTTTATGTCTTTCCTGATAGGTTTCCTTACATGTCCAAAAATCATTTAAGTGTTATCCCTGTTTGAAATACATATATTGAACCAGATAGGAACCAGATAAAATCCAGATATTTTTTTTATATGTTTCTATATAGCATTTTTAATAGGGCTCGGTGGTGTACATGGGTATGGATGTTTATTTGTGTTTGTCCAGGGTTACAAAAGGTTTATCGTAAGTAATATCATAAGGGCATCTAATATTTCCGAAAAAAATCGATAAAACACGTTGCTGGCATGAGTGCTGGTGGCAACAAAAATCCGAGGATTTTTGCACCTGCACGAATGCATTTTGTTAAAAAATATTACTTAGCATTGTGTTTTTTCGATTTTTTTCACAGGAAAAATTAGATGCCCGAATGGTATTTGACAAGACTATTTCATGAGTAACAGTTAACAATTAAAATATAAATTGCAATTTTTGGTGACAACAGCTGTTAAGTTTTGCCGCAGGTAAACTGTGTGCTGTCATACATTTTTTTCACCTAGAAACCATTTGTAATTCAAATTGCGCGTTTGTGATTGGTGGAAATTGAGACGAGGGAAATAGTCGTAATAACTTACCATACTCGTATAATGCACTGTTTGCGAATTAGTAGCAGAAAAGTGAAAAAAAAACGTTCTTATTAGTTTAAACTAAATAATTTACATTTTTACTTTTTATTGCGCAATATACGGGGGCCGAGATATTCACTAAAAACTGAAATAGTATATTACACTACAAGGGCAGAAAGTGTGAGATTCCTGCACTGCGCGCCATGATGATATTTTTCTTACTACCTCGGCCGAAAATACGGGAAAAAATTAAATGTGTATATCGAAACATATTGATGCCTGCCCAAATTTTGAGGTTATATTAGTGTCGTAATCAGAGTTGCATATGTTGAGCACACGACTAAAAAATTTTTACTCCCGCTCAGAGCTGGGCAGTAATTGACTTGAAAGTGCTTGAAAAAGTGCTTCAAGCACAATAGTGCTTCGAGCACAGTGCTTGCAAGCACTTTTAAAATACAGTGCTTGGTAATTGGTAATTGAAGCCCTTTATAAAAAGTGCTTGGTAATTGGTAATTGAATTTCGCATTTCAAGCCATTTGAGTGCTTGCAAGCACTTAAAAGGCTTGCAAGCACTTTAAAGGGCTTGCAAGCACTAAAGGGCTTCAGATTTGAGGGCTTGCAAGCATTTAAAGTGTTCCCGAGCACTTTAGACTCTAGAGGGAAATGCCCTTAGTAACAACCCTGTGGTTTCATCATCATCTAATGCGGTGTGCGGTGCAGCATAAGCTTTAATGTGATTGGTTGGTTGAAGGCCGACTTGGCCAGTACCTTTCTCCTTCTTGCAGATAATTTGTACTTATTTTTTGATTATTTCTTCACTTTAATTGTTTTGCGTCATGTTGTGTGGACTAATAAATTAAAAACAAAAAACTTGGTTTGGTTATTTTAATATAACGATCATCCAAAAATGTTTCTTATTTTTAAAATAAAGATGTTAATTAATTGGGTAGGAAGCAATTGGAAAACTAAAAAGTACTTGGTAATTGGTAATTTATTTAAGAAAAAAGTGCTTGCAAGCACTTTTTGAGTAATTGGTGCTTGGTAATTGAATTTTTCAATTACTTTTCTCGGTAATTGGTAATTGCAAGCACTTAAAGTTTTCAAAGTGCTTGATGCTTGGTGCTGGCAATTACTTTTCCAAAGGGCTTGGTGCTTGGTGCTCGAAGCACTTTTTTTGAGTGCTTTGCCCAGCTCTGCTCCCGCTATTATAGAGTGTGCGCGTATAGCTTGACCAATGCAAGAAACGTAAACTTTCTGCCGTGGAATCGGGGACGAAACAACGTATTTTCAGTCGAGGTAGTAAAAAAAAATGTATTTTTGCGTATGTCTTGTAAAAAAAAATGTCCGGTGGTGCAAGTTTGAATAAGAGCTTTTAAATTCATTTACGACGCGACCATCGTTTCGGTCTGACTGGACTAGAAGAGAAAAAAACTATACAGACAATATTGCACAGAAAAGCCTTGGGTTTAGAAAAATATTTTAATTTTTGCTGTACATAATGTTTTTAAGATATTTCAAGATACATTTTGTGTTTAGGGACATCGAGGGTCCTCACCACAAATAAGAACTTTTGCTCCTGATGGCAAGGTACACCAAGAAGCCCAACATACTGTAAGCTACCCCTTGAGAACCACGAGCAGATCTCCATCACCTTTAAGAGCGGCTTCATTGGATATAAGATGCTCTTCACCTGGTGAGTGTTCTTACCAAAATTTATTAAACTAAAAAAACGCTTAAAATTTTTAATTCCTTTTAGGTGCCATAATGTGTCCGACAGAAGCTCGAACACCTTCCCCCTCTCAATCTTCATTGGCATCACTTACGGGGGGGTCAGCTAGTTCTTGTAATTCGCCAGTCCCGGCTTCGCCGCGTACTGTCTCAATGGGCAGGTTAGTATTAGAATTATTATAATAATTATAATTATGGATGACAACATATGTTATTGTTGAATATCTTAAAATGAATCACCATGTATAAAATATAATTAGGTGGGTCCGAACAAACTGATAGGTATTTTAATACATTTTTGCACACACTCAGAGAAATATCATGTCATAAAAAGCATAGGAAATTATATCAATTTAAATAATCGGGTATATTTGATTCAAATGGAAAATTTTATAGTTTTATATACATTTACCCACAGTTTTACAATTATCCAATAAAAGAAACTTGACTATATATAAATTGTGTTTATTTATAAGCGAGTTATTATTTATAATTGTTTTTGTGTTATGTTTAAGAAATTTATTCAATCAAAATAAATTAAATAAAAATTTAGTAACAATTAACAAACTTTTTTAGATGTCTCTCCCCTTTGCACATACCTAACCACCATAGGCAGTCAATGGAAAACTTGCCAGTGGCCCCCCCAGCGAGTCCTTTAGGAGCCATTCAACCCGATTTGTACCTTAGAAAAGACGGGCCTTTATTTATTAACGCTAACCCCAAAAACGGTCCTAGTTTGGGAAGATTGCATTTTAGGTTGACATACGATTTTAACCGAAGCGATCTAATCATACATTTAATTGAAGGTAAGTTATCACTAAATTGCTAAAAATATTTATTATAATATAATAATAAATTTAATATAATTAATCAACAATTGATGAGCATCCGTGCAAAACCGGCTAAATCTATTTTATTCAGATTTGTTTTTTTTTTATTTCGCATCTTTGGGTTCATTTCTATCGACAACCAAGATAATTCTGTTTAAATCTGACTATATCCATGTTAAAATCCCAATTAAAAGGTAGCTTTAGGAGCAAAACCGGCCAAATCTACGTTTTTATAGCAAACCCGGCTATATCCAACAAATAATAATGATGATGAGCATGTGGCTTGGATATGTCAATACTACTACTAAAATTTGTTCTGTTTTTTTCGTGTTTGCACTAAATTTATTTTGTTAATATTTTTGAATAATAAAGGTTTTTTTTCACATTTTATTCGGTTTTTGAGCAAAACCGGCTACAAACAAAACATTTTTTGAAATTTTGGCCTTAATATAAAGTTTTTGAAAACGAAAGTATGTCTTATAAATCAAGTACCACAAAGCCCACAAAACTCAAGTTTGCTTTTTCTTTTATCTGTAAAGGCCAGGAAACCGAGAGTTTTTGCCATTTTCCCAACATTTTATTAAAGTGAATATAGCCGGTTTTGCACGGATGCTCCTCAATTATAGTGACCAAAAAGTTATTGGCAAGAACACTATAAAGAGTTCTTGATTGTAGCATTAACACCAGAAATTATAAGACAAGAGGATTTATAAATAAAAAAGTAGCCACATTACATTAAATAAAACAAAAAGATCCTTAGACCAAGTTTTTCATAATTCTTAAACTTCCTTAGTCAGAAAGACACTGAAACATTTTCTAATACACTTTGGACCCAAAAATCCTTGAACTAAAAGATCCTTAGACCGACTACACTCGAAACTTATCAAGGAACCTTATAAAAAACTAAAAATAAGGATTATTAGGCTAAGAAAACCTTATGCAAAACTACAGAAAATGTTTTTATTCCTTATTCCTATAAGGATTTTGCGGATTCTTATAAAATTCAACTTTACTAGGGTTGTAATTGAAAAAAATCCATGGCATAAAAATTACTTTTACCGAAAAATCCTTAAACTAAAAAATGAAAGGTCCTTTGACCAAAAGATCCTTAGAGCAATCGTTGCACTGAAACATTCGAAAATTCTTTGGACTGAATAATTCTTATACTGAAAGGTATAAAAAAATAAATAAAAATAAAATGCTTAAACTAAGAGATCCTTAAACTGAACAGATTTTTAAAGTAACTAAAATGCCTTTATAATGAAACAACCATTAGTTAAAAATTCTTAAAATTAAGAAAACTTTTTTAAGAGCTTTTTATAATTTCTGTTAGTTTCTTAGGTTGCAAGACACTTTCATATTTAAAGATTACATAACTTTTTAGCTTTGGACTTAACTAGCAGCGAGCAAGGCGGTTTTAACGACCCTTACGTAAGAGTAGAACTTTTGCCAAAAATTGACGATCGTAAAAGACAAACAACTGTATTCAGAAACAACCCCAACCCTTATTTCGACCATCACTTTAAATTCCCCATATCGAACGACGAACTAAAAACGAAAACCCTGCAAATGCAAATCTTCGATTACGATAGATTCTCCAGAAACGATGTTATTGGAGAGGTTTTGATGGCAATGGAGGAGTACGATATATCTGGGGGCACATTTGAGGTGTTTGGAGATATTACTAAAAACAAAAAACCAGCGGAGGATTTGCAGGAAATTTTGGTGTCTTTAAGCTTTTTGCCTTCGGCAGAACGACTCACAGTTGTTCTGCTGAAGGCCAGAAACCTAATACAGCCAAGCGATAGGGAAAATATGGGTATTTTATTTGAAGAATTTATGTTGTTTTGTGTTTTTGATTTCATGTTTTTAGATCCGTTCGTGAAAGTTTATTTGTTGGTTAATGGTAAAAGGATAAAGAAAAAGAAAACCGCAGCTATGAAAAGCAGTTGTAATCCTGTTTGGAATGAAGCTCTTACTTTTAGCTTGTCACATACAAATTTACAAAATGCTTCGGTTGAAGTAAGTTTGTATTTTAAATTTTATATATTTTTAATACACTACTATAGGGATGTTAGTTTAAGTGCAAAAAATACAACAAATATTTCCGACAAGTAGTTCTTGTGGATTTTTTTTCTGAAAAAATTTTAATAAGTAAAAATAAGTTTTGAAAGTCCTAGGGTCATTCCATCGTTTCGGGTGTTACATTTGTTCAACCAAAGTCTAAATTTGTATGCATTTTGAAATAACATTTTAACATTAAAGTGCCTTATTCTCTACTTTTTTAGTTGTTTTATCTAAATTGTAAAATTAATAGAGTTTAGCATATAGGATAACGATTTTATAAGTGAAAAGTGTGGGTTTCGGGTGTTTCACGATTCTGCCTCTATGTCCTGAATATTGTTATATTATTTGAAATTCAGCGAATTCCCTAAAAATTACAGGCCTAAAAAAGTATAATAATTACTGACCATCTACCACATAATCACTGTCACAAATAACTTTTTACTATTTTGTTATAAAATTTTACTTTAATTTGGGTGTTACCATGGTTCTGTTTAGGGTGTTACAAGTAAAAATATTAAACACTTTATATCGACACAATCGGTGTTTTATTAGTCTTTGGTAGTTAGTAACAAATAAACATAAATATAATGAATTCTCCTTAAACATAACATAAGCAGCTTTAGGTGCGATTGATAAATCGGCAAAAAGTGTAAAATCGTTTTTATTGCCAAAAATCAGTAAAAAATCGGTAGAAACATAATTATTGACGAAAATCTAAGTATTCGGTATTTTGGTAGGTCCGTTGCCATTTAGGTAGGAATAACGAAATTTCGGTAGGTTCGACAACACCATCGGAAAAGCATTCACACCTCTTTTAAAGAGGTGAGACAGCTTTTCCGATGGCGGCGCTAGTGGGCCTTTGAAAGAGCCTTAAAAATAATACTTATTGCATTATTTAAGCAATAGAGCCTTAAAAATAATACTTATTGCATTCTTTAAGCAATACCTACACATAAATAAATCGACATATGAAAAAAGTTGTAACACCCGAAACGTTTCGGCTGTTTTTAATCAAGAAAAACACATATCAAATTAGTCTCATACTCAGATATTAGTTAGTATTTTAATTGTTGTAGCATGCACTTTTTCTGCTACGCCTTATGGCCCAGAACATTCTTTAAATTTCACCTTTCATAACGTTCATAAATTGGTTTAATTGACTTTGTGAACTGGGAAAAACCCTTGATTATTTTGACCTTAGAAGAACACTGCTTTTGTGTAGCTTTTATCTACAATAAAGATTAATGAGGAAGAATCGCGCAACCCTGGCGAAAATGAAATGTGCAAAAAGTGTGCAAAATTATCTTTTAAAAACATGATGTGCGGAGGGTGGAAAATGGAACATGAAACAATGTGCAAAACCAAAAATTTAAAAGTGTGAATAATCACTGGACCATGTTCTAAAGGGAACTCCTTTTGATTTTTCACATTGTTTGCATACTGTTTCTTGCCACCTGTGTGCCTATTACAAAAACAGTTTCTTTTTGGTGACCTATAAGTCTTAAATTTACACATAATTGAAATATAAATATCCTTATAATAATATTAATCAATAATTTTTTTTTCAAAAGAAATTTTAAAAAAATACCTGCACTGTCAACTCCACGACGGGGATTGCTTTGATCTTAGCAATAGGCCGAGAAGCGATACATAAGATGAAATCTACCTCACCTTTTAAATAAATGTTGTACCCCAACACAAGCGAGATATATCTAAAATGTGCTTAAACTGCCTATGCCGCGCGCACTTTAATCGTCACTCCGATTTTTGGATCCTAGGTCCCTTTTCTCGGATCGCGTCACATATACTGCCCTGCTAAGCCAATATTAAGTAACAAATTTTATTTTTGATTTTAGATACAGGTACTTAACCAAGGAAGCGAAATAATGAGTTCAAGCCCCATACTGGGCACGTGCTCCATAGGGCCTAAACAAACCGGCCCTGAACGAGACCATTGGTTAGATATGTCGCACAGCCTAAGGAAAGCCATAGCATGTTGGCACACCATAAGGTACTAATTTATGAAATCAGCTCAAATGAAAATATTAAACAGGGTGGTATTTTTAAATCTTTAAATTGCATTGTACTGGGTGCCTCCAAAATAAAGGTCTAAAACTATCGATAGCCCTATCGTTAACTATTGATAATTCTGACGAATAATATTGATATTTTTTATAACTATTGCGATATTTTTAGATAGCTTTATAACCGTTATATTTTTCGCCTACGATTGAAGCTTTCACAAAAAATAACTTATCATAAAGTCTTATAAGACTTACGTTGTTTATAAGAGACACTCACATTCTGTCAATTTACTTTTATATATTATTTATGACCTGTGGGTATTCTATGCGCTACCTTTCAAATTTAAATGTCTTGTTTAAAAATTTGGCGCCAAAAGTAAGAATTGTTAATTTATTTGTTGTTATAGATAGGGAATAAGTTCTAGGTATACATTGAATTTATTAGCGATAAAATATTTTTGTGCCCCCGCTACCTTGGCGAACAGTGAAATAATCCTTAGTTGTACGGGCAGTAGCGTAGCCATAAAATGAATAAATATCGTAAGTTATTGATAGAAAAGTGACCATTGTTCTAATTTTTCTAGACTATCGAAAACTATCGAAGTGACCATTTATCGAATAATATCGATAGTGCCAACTATCGATAGTTTTAGACCTCTACCTCTGCTTTACAAAAACCTACCACATATTATTAAACCATATTAAGTTGATTTAAATGAACCTTTTTACAAAGTACAAATTTTAAAACGGATTGTGTTTTTTGCCAAAATTTTGTACGTTGGTCATAGTTTTTTTATAAAACTTTTATGGGACACAATTATGATTTGATGTATTCAATTTTTAGTCGTAGAATTTCTATTTTTTTTAAATTTCCTCATTTTAATTTCTACGCCAATAGAGAAAATATAATATAAACGTAGGTTAACCAATTGCCCAACTCATTTAGTGCAATAAAATTCAATTGCTTTAATTAATGGTTTTTGAGAAATTTTTATTTCATTAATTCACAGTTAATCATAATTTAAAATTGGACCACCTACAACAAAACGAAAAATGTTTTGTCAGTAACTTATTTTTTTTTGTAAAACTAGTTGAATAATTATTTTTAAAATTAATATTTCACTCATGCATTGTAACAATGCATGTAAGATGTAATGCATTTTTAAGTGGAAATTCAAAAACTTTATAGGTAATTTACGTAAAATACTTTAGGTTTATTAAACTATTGAAATACCTATTTTGGTCTAAGGAATTTGTGGCAGGTTTTTGTAAAGACCTTTTACCAACACACTGTATATATGTATATATACTCGATATATCGAAAATTCATTAACCAGTAATCCGTAACCGAAAAAGTAGCTTCTGAAATTATGCCTTTAAAGGTTTTAAAAACTTCACCATGTAAAAAACCCTGGTCTCAAGTTGAGACTCTCAACACAAAATGATTTTTATTCAAGTCTTATGATTACCTATTTATACAATGTCCACGGAGAGGGGTACAAAAAGAAAAAAAACGTATTTTATATTTCTCAAAAAATTATATTGTTAATTTGCTTGATTTTAAAACCCTAGAATATGCGACACATCATTTTTATTGTCTATTGTTAATTTGTAATTTTAATTTTTCTGAAAATTTTTGACTAAAACATGTTTGATGAAAATCATTTTTCGGTTCGATATTTTTGTCATTTTTTTACCAACAATTTATTATCACGGTAGGTAAAAATATCTCGAGAATTCTTCACGGATGTCATTTTTACTTATAATAAAAGGATGAAAATGCAAAAAAACGGCGATAAAAATTGTATTTTTGTAAAAGCTTTAAATATGTCAATAGAAATAATTACTTTTGAGAAATGACAAATAACGACCAAAAATGAATTTTATTAAACATTTTTTAGTCCAAAATCAAGCAAAAGTTTCTGAGAAATGTAAAATATTTTTTTTTTACGATGTGGACATAATATTTACTATATATAAATTTATTGTAAATGTAAGCGTAAGTTTTTTAATAGTATGGTTGTGAATACTAAGGGGTTAATACTCAACAATTTTTAGAGCTTAGTATTCGCAATCGTATTTTTTATAAAAAAAATTCTTCCAAGATTTAAATATTTTTGTAAAGCAAACTTTTTACTTTATAATCTTAAATTATAAAACGGGCATGAACCTCATTAAAACCGTATGCTCACTAAAAAAAGTATTCCATATTTATACAGGGTGATCCATAAGTCAAGTTAAAGCATGTTCCATGAGTTTTATGACACCCTGTATTTTCCAAAATCCAAAAAAAATTACGAGGAAACGACTCAACATGACAAATAATGAATTTAAATGTTTTTGTTTTAAATCTGAACCTACTTATGATGAGCATGTGACTTGAAAATTTTAGAGAAAAAACTGAAAAACTTATAAAAAAAGTGACAATCATTTTTTAATTTGAATCAACAATAAAATATCCATATTTTTTGCGTAAAGAGGTCCGCGAAATTTAGGTAAACCTCTTAAATTGGAAAGCTGTAATGAATTAAAAAAAATCTAAAACATATCTTCAAATTTTTTTGTTTGTAATTCTAAAAAAATCAATGTTTTAAAACTAATAAGTATTTGTAATATTATATGAGACGCTTATTAAATATTAGGATATATTATTGATATGCAAGATTAAATGTTTAAAAGAGGCAATTGTGCGCACATTTATTTTACAATAAAATATTTACTTCCATTTGTTTGAAACTTACGAAAAACTGTCTTATACGTCCTTATGAAAACTTTCTTAAAATACCTATTAAACAATATACAGGGTGTTACAGGATAAACTTAACTATTTTAATTAAAAAAGAGGCTTAAAATCAAAAAAGTTATTCTTGTAAGTGCTAAATAGCGTAACACCCTGTAGTTAATAACACATTAAGGCTGGGAATTTTGTTATTTTTTTAAATTCGAATACTTTAAAATTTTAATTGGAATAGTCGAATTATTCGCATGCTCGGATATTCGAATTTTCAAATATTCAAATATTTGGAAATTTGAACATTAAAATACTTTAAATTGTCAAATTTAAAACTAAATATTATTAGAATAATACGTTTCTTATAATTAAGTTTTGCTCTTAAATATTTAAGAAATAAATAAATTTCTCCCTTTTTTCATTGGCGCTGACGAGTAAGGTAATTGCCAATAGCAAATACAGGATATCCGTTTTTATGGCTAAGCATGAGTTAGTTGACTATCTTATCTCGCTAGTTTTTAAAGCTAGAGAAAAGATTTTTCCCCTTGAAAAATTGTCTGAATTGGAATTGAAAATCACAAATTCTTGTCATTTACGATATCTCGAAAACTAAAAATGTTAAGTAAAATTTTTTTTGGATCATTGATCGGAGTCAAATTGCGCATCTTTTTCCTAATTTAACCAACTATGTATTTTTAAACATAAGCGAATTACCTACCTATGCTTAGACTTGAAAAACAAACACCCAAATATTTTAATTTTCGAACACTCGAATTTTGAATATTTAAATATTCGAATGTTCGATTACTCGAATAATCGAGTATTCGAATAATTTTTAAACGATTTCCACCTCTATTCGAATACTCGAATTATTCGTAATCGATTCCTAGCCTTAACAAAAATATTCCTTATTTTTAGTATACACACTGTATTTCATAGTTATTAAATGGTGTTTTGATATATTTATTAATTTGTATTAATGAAAACTGTATGTATTAATGTTATTTACATAATCTATTGGAACTCTGTGGTGAATTAAAATTATTTTTCGTCGACAATGTCCTAACTTTTAAATTTCAAGTAAATATAGTTAAATATAGATATTATGAATATGCTGGGCTAGGGACCATAAGCTAGAAAAAAACAGTAGAATATAAAACGATAAAAAATGGTCCAAGTTTAATTTTAAAACAGTAAAAATAGAGCCTAATGTAAATAAACCGTTTAATTTTTAACGCCTAAAAATGTAAATATTTTTTTTATAATAACAAATGTGATACCTACTAATAAAAATAAATTCAAAATAAACAAACGAAATCGACGCAAAATAATTTTAATTCGTCAAAATATATAGGCTAGCATACAAGACTTTGTTAGGTTTTAAAATATGACAAAAATATATCAGCATTCAGAACAAAGGGAAAACTGAAAATTTAAAAATAAATGTAAAGATGTTTAACCGTTTTTCGGAAATTTATGAAACCGAAAAAGTTTTTTAAATGTATCTCTCTGAATTTTCCTCGGTAAATGTACTCGTTTTATCATTGATTGATTTACTCAACGGTTTTATTAAATTATTGAAGATTATTCTCAGATATTTTTTGTGTTCAAAATATAGGCCCTATAGTAAAAAAATGCATTTATATAAATATTTGTAAGTTTTACAAACATGGTTGGAAAAAGACTTTTTGAATTAATTCACTTTTTCATTATGGGCCATTCCACGCGTAACGGATAGGACAGTTGCCGTGTTTTTATTTACAAAATAATATTGTTCTATTATATTACCAATGTCAAATTTTTATAAATAGTTCTAAATTAAAACTGTTTAACAAGGTTTTTATTTGGCAAAATTAGGTATCGTGGACTTTTAATTCCTTAAAAACTAATAATTTAAAGCGTAACGGACGGGACTTTGTAATTTTGCCAAATAAAAACCTTGTTAAACAGTTTTAATTTAGAACTATTTATAAAAATTTGACATTGGTAATATAATAGAACAATATTATTTTGAAAATAAAAACACGGCAACTGTCCTATCCGTTAAGCGTGGAATGGCCCTTATACAATTTATAAAATACAAACTCAAAAATATTTTTATATTTGATTAAAAATATGAAAGTCAAATAAAAAATCTATTTCAATAATTGTGTCATAATTATTTTACTTTTTAAATACAAAATTGAAATTTTATTAACACCCCCACCGGAATATATTTTACCTAAAAAGACATTCTAAGAAGATTTAGTCTTGCACTTTTTGATAAGCCAACCAGATCGCGCTATTTTTATTTACCCAAATAGTCCGACAATATAATCAAAAAAATTATATTGATTAAAGGGGAGAAGCATTATTTTCTACCTGTTTGCTGATGCAATTAAATTAATTGGAATTATATAACACTGTAGGTAAATTTTCAAATCTTGAAATATCACAGCTAAACGCTTGAACAAGTTTAGCTGTATCAGGTTTATAAAAGTGTTTTCTATTGGCAATTCGACACGCTACCCAAGCAGCATTTTAAGTTTAAATAACTACAAATTTACTACTAAGTCAACTTTAAATTATTTTTTATGGTTAACCAAAACGGTTTTATAACGGTATAGATACGAAAAATTACCAAATTTGTGGAATGGTTTATTTCGTTATTTTCCCTACATAATAACCTTTTAGATCTACTAAAAAATAACGTAATAAAAACAATATAAATACCACAAATTTACGTAAAAATAACGCTATATTCGTAATTTCTTTGTTCTTTTAATTTATATTTTACAAAATGGTACTTACAAAGTAATAAAGGCCACCCTAGAGTAAAATTAAATAATATAACTTAAAAATGATATGCCCTCTAAAAATTTTACTATTTTAAGAAAAAATATTGCTTGGGTAAAAATTCAACAAAACTTAAAACCTACAAAATTTTATAAAACCTTCTAAACATCATTTAGTTTTCATCATTTTTTAATAACTAAAACTTTCCATATTATATTTTAGAAAAATAATTATGAAAAAATGTTATATAAATGTTTAGATAAGTAATGGATGCCATCTTAAAAAAATCATTATGGCGACCGGAAAAAAAAATTTCCTTATTTTTCACTTTAAGCTTATTTTTCCTTGTTTAGTCAATATTACCACTAATAGCCCTAAAAAATACCAGGCGAATAGGAATTATTTACGGTTATAAAGTGGTCTTAATATCGTAAAATTATGACTTATGAGTAACATTTACCATTAAGTAAAAATTCTGACGTTAAAATTACCGTTAAATTTTCCTTTAGGTGAAATACACTTATAAGTAATTTTAATTCGTAAAAAATTTATACTAAAAATTACGTCCCTCATAATACTTTAAAGTGTTGAAACTTAAGGGTTATTAAAATAGGTAAAAATAACATAAATAAAACTTATTAAATAACTTTAAAAAAAGTTTTACTTGAAAGTAAATTTTTAAGGTTAATTTAACAAAATATTTCACAGTGACTAGAGGCACGCTAACGTACCGCGATTGAAAATATTAAAGGCACGTTAGTTACGTCATAATTATAATCCATTTTTGTTCCCCGAGCATTTAATATTTGACATCAAGCTAGATAGCTTATATGGTAGGGCGTTCGCTTGGCATGCATAAATTATAAAAAAGCATAAACTGACAGTCTCCAATTTTTACACTCAAAACATCTAAACAATATTGCCCCTGTATCGGATGAGCGAAGGGAATGGCGAGCTGCGAGGCAATTTCAAATTGTATCATGGTTTCGGGTAGGCCAAAACATCGGCCAGGGGGGTTGCTATATTGCGCTACAGCGTACATATAGTGGCCTCCTTTATGATGAACATTACGTGCCAGGCACATTTGTTTTGTTCATTTTATTTATACACCTTTATATACCTGAAATTATTTTTACAATTTATATTTTATACAATAATATGAATAAATATTTTTGATTTGATTTGATTTGCTTGGCATGCGAGAGGTCCCGGGTTCGATACCAAGAAGCTGTCGAACTTTTTTTATTTTTTTATTTCATAAATTTGTTGTTTCTTTGTTAAACAGTGTTCGGTTGGGTTGGGTTGGTTGGTTTGTTTTAGTTTTATCGTAACATAAAATCTACTAGAAGTTGTCGAACTTTTTTTATTTCATAAATTTGTTGTTCCTTTGTTAAAAAGTGTTTTATTTTTATCGTAACATAAATTTGCCCATTTTAGTTGGGTTTTTTGTTCAATGGGGCGGGGGGCCAATGGGGCGGGGTCGGTTGGGTTGTGTTGTTGAGTTTGGGATTGTTTGAGTTTATGACGTAACTAACGTGCCTTTAACATTTCAAATCGCGGCACGTTAACGTGCCTCTAGTCACAGCGAAAATATTTACTTAAATTAAGTAATATTGCCTCAAAGCTCTACGCTTTTACTTAAAATGCTGCTTATATTATAAATTGTAAAATATTATATTTTACCTCTTTAAAAAAAACAGCAAAAAACATTTTGCATTTACTATCTAAAAAAACCTTAGACGTGCTCCTTTTGATTAATTAACCTCAAATTTTGCAAGAATTTGTTTTATTTTATTTGGAACAAACAAGGGGGTCCAGCCCAATTGATTTTTTTTAAATTCATACATGGTGTTTTCTAATGGGATGCTCCAAAACTTGAAAATTAAATATCTTTGAATTTTGTCCTGATATATATATCTATAGATAAACCAAGCACAGATTTGTAATCCAAAAATTAAGTTCACATGTCTGAAAGTTTAGCTGTGATATTTTCACCTCCCTACAGTGTAATTAATTCATGGCCTAAAAAAAGTCATTTCATTTAATTCACTGAATTAATTCACATGAATGCCAACCCTGGTTGCAAGCAAGGTAATTTAACTAAACACTATTAAAAAATATTAGCTTTACAGAATTCAAAAGGACCAAAATGAAAATATTTTAAATAAAGACTGAAACTGAAACTACTAAAACGATTATATTTACCTGTAAAAACAATGTTTAAACTATGAATATACATTTTATTTGCTTTAAGGTATAAATATTACTATATTGAATTAAATTAAATAGTATTCTTACAGGGTGTTCAACATAAAAAACACCAATTAAAAACAACATGAATTTTTGAAATTGGTGTTTTTATGGGATTTTTTATTTATTCAATTAATAATATAATTGTTGAATTAATAAAAAATCAGGATGATAGAATGTGTTACACTCATGAATCATATATAGTTTATTATATGAATTTAGTTTAAAATATAAAATTATATGAATATAAAATGTGTTTAAAATTGAAAAAGAAGGTATTTGTTGTGTTTGTGACTTTATGTAATGAGATAAATGTTTGAAATTTTAAAAAATCAGGCATATTTTAAAATAGATGATGAATTGATAGTTGACTTTGTATATCCTAAGGATAAAAATGTATTTAATAAATGAGAAACACAGCAATTTGTAGTTTTTATATTAGGTATATATTTATAATTTATTATCACAAAAAAATCTAAAACACTTTTATAAGATTAACCTGTAGTATTATTACTAGGTACTACAATACTTTTTATAGTTGTATGTATAACATTTTCAATTGGAACATGTACTTTAATATTTGGGGGCGAATGGAAAAAATACATTTTAAAACCTGCAGCAAGAATCAAATGGCATAAAATTATACCAGCAATCAAGAATAGCTTATGTCTTGATAATCGTAAAGCTGGAAGTAGTGTAAATAGCAAAACTGAGCCTGATATAAAAGTAGCAACTAACACTAACCCCCACTGTAACATACTTATCTGAATTGACCATAATATTGATACTGGTATGTAAATAAACAATGAATAACCATAAATACATATTAATTCCAGAGCACCAGGTGTTACATTTGACTCCAAACCTTCCAAATCATTAACATCAGAGCTCCACTTTAATAACCCCCATAGAGTAAAAGGAATAAGTGTTACATACATAAAAATAGCAGTTGCTGCATATGAGACTAAATGAAAATCATATTTCCAGTGAATATTGGTATTAGCATTCTGTAAGTAGTTGGCTACATTACCACTTATAGCAATGGTAAAAATTAAGGTTATAGATATCCATATGGGTCCATATAAGTCCGGTTTGTGTCTCAGATGGTGTTTTAAAGAATTATCGCGTTTTGGTGTTACTGAAGCTATTATTCTATCAATAACATCCTGTGTATCTATATCAAAGAATTGCTGATAATATTCCACAGTCCAAAATGATTTCATGGCACTTTCTAAAATAAATAGTGTTAAAATTATATAAATACCGATTAAATGGTGTATTTACCTGCCGTATTAGCCCCCATATCGCCTCCACCCCCATTGTCACTCTGCCTATTTGCATTATTAACGTTTACATTAATCTGAGCACTTTTTTGCGGAGATTCACTATTATGTACAGATGGATAATCGTGAAAAGAAAGTAATTCATCGGTAGGAACTTCTTGTAAATTAGTCATTTTGGTAAATTCGCAGAAATGTGGATAAACTACATCAAAATTACACGTCTGCCAAATATTTACAATTTATCCAGGGTGGAAGAACCCTGAATTTATCTTTGACAGATTAACTGTCAAACTTATAGTGACATCTATAAGGGAATGAAATAAGTTTGATTTTAACTAGAGCAGTCTTTAAACTTGATAAATATAAACGAGATAGGCAACTACCATAATAAGAATCGGTACCACGCCCTCTCGATCTAAATGAATAAAACGCGCCTAGTTTGAATTTTATTTATTTATTTTAGTTTTAGGCTATTTAATTAACTTGAATTTATGGCGGTTTAGTCAGTCCTTTTATCACTAAAAAAAATGCGCATCTTTTATAGATGCGACGTTTATTTTAATTGAAAAGGTAGAATGTTATTTATTTCTGTTCAAAGAAATAATAAAAAGTTAAAATGATATAAAATCTGTATGATTTGGATTCCCAGTAAGCACCAAACACTCGGCTTTCCCTAGCCAGCCCGCTTACGGCCAGAATACGGCCTGCCGTGGCATAAGCAATACATCTCACGGCTGCTTACGCAAGCGAGCTAACTATAAATAGCGATGGGTTGCAATATCTAGTTGGAAGTGTGCGTCTGTAATCGCATAGCTGAACATTAGTTGTTTGAAGTCCCCATCTCCATCCTCATCTGCTCAGTACCTAACGAATAATGGCTAGCTAGGACGTCTGAAGGCCTTTTTTGAATTGTCAGGCTGTTGTGGCCGGCACTCGGGCAACTATACCCAGCACTGGGCCAGCAGACACTCGGCCGAGTAAACATAGCCGACATTCGTCCAGGCGGACATGCCCGGTCTACACGCCGGAACAAATACATACATGTGTCGGGCCGATTCGGCAAAACGTATTCGGGCCGGCTAGCTTGTAGACCAGTGCAGAAGCCTTTAAAAATGGTAAAAAGAGAGAAAAATAACAGTAGGATGAAACCCATTGGAAAAGGAGGGGAATGTAATAAAAATTAAAGGAAAAATAAATTACGGGCGATCTGAGTTCGGGAAGTGGGAGGGGGGGGTTTAAGGGTAAAAAATGGTTTATCTCGATTTCCGGCAAAACTACAAGTCCTATGGAAAAAAGTTAAATGTCAAAGTTGTAGGTAATAAAAAGATCTACAACTTTTGTATTTACAATTTTTTCACATAACCTCAAAATTTATGTGAAAAATTCAAAAAACCAAGTTTTTGGTTTTTTATTTTTCTTTTTCAAAAAAAAAAATTTTTCCACGAAATTTGGTGAAAACTTACCTTTTTATGTCCCAAATACACTGTAATTTATTTGATTTGAAATATTTATTATTTCGCCTTATATTGACTTAATATCAAAAAAGCACCCTAATTTTCAATCGAAAATTCTCGGGTCAAAATATCAGCTTTTTTCAAAAAGTCGGTGTGCTTTTTGTTCGATGAACTCTCTACTTTCTGATGGTGTAAAAAAAATATACATTACTATGGTAAATGTTCTCAGAAAATACAAAAAATATTATAATGAATAACGTAATCAGAATGAAGTATCTAAATTCAATAGTATGATTTACATGTATTTTTATATTTTATGAGATTTTCTGACATAAATGTTATTAGAATTTAATAAATAAACTTTTTAACTAAAAAAAATTGCAACAATCACATTTTTTTGATGAAATTGTACATAATGATTAAAATAAATTTTCGAATTCGGGTTTTTTCGTTGTTCATTATAATATTTTTTGCATTTTCTGAGAACATACCATAGTAATGTATATATTTTTTACACCATCAGAAAGTAGAGATTTCAACGAACAAAAAGCACACCGACTTTTTGAAAAAAGCTGATATTTTGACGCGAGAATTTTCGATTGAAAATTAGGGTGCTTTTTTGATATTAAGTCAAAATAAGGCGAAATAATAAATATTTCAAATCAAATAAATTACAGTGTATTTGGGACATAAAAAGGTAAGTTTTCACCAAATTTCGTGGAAAAATTTTTTTTTTTAAAAGATAAAAATAAAAAACCAAAAACTTGGTTTTTTGAATTTTTCACATAAATTTTAAGGTTATGTAAAAAAATTGTAATTACAAAAGTTGTAGATCCTTTTATTACCTACAACTTTGCCATTTAACTTTTTTCCATAGGACTTGTAGTTTTGCCGGAAATCGAGATAAACCATTTTTTACCCTTAAACCCCCCCCCCCTCCCACTTCCCGAAGTCAGATCGCCCGTAATTTATTTTTCCTTTCATTTTTATTATATTCTTCTCCTTTTCCAATGGGTTTCATCCTACTGTTATTTTTTGTTGGTTTCAAAAATTATCGACCCTGGTCTATTGTGCTTAGTGGGTTTTTTAAATAAAATTTGAAATTTGTCGATAAACTACATACCATAGGTAAATAATAAATTGCACCAATTAAATTTATATTATATTTATTGGGGGCCCCATGTGCCATGGGGCCGGTACGGCCGAGCAAAAAATATTTTTTTTTCGCAAACTTCAATTGAAATTCTGCTTGCGCAGAACTTGTTTATTTTGTAAAAGGGTTTTATTTCCCGGGGGAAAAATTTCCTTTTGAAGCTTGGCGTCACTTACCTTGCGGACTTTCTAATAAAATCTCGGGCGCCACTATATGCGAGGGTAGCTTTTAGGGTTAACAGTGGAGATAATTCAGGGTTTAGGGGAATTTATGAATAAATGGTGTGGTTCGGTTACACAGCAAACGGAAAATTATAGAGGTGTATAGGATGACGCCACGTTTGAATATGGTTTTCTAATTCTCCCTACGGTATAGAGTTGTATTCGTCAGTCGAGCGTTTCAATACTCTCCAAAGTATAGAGGTCGTAATTTCACTTTTGAACTAGTATTAATATAAAAATTATTTTATGCTTAAAAAAAACTATATACGACATGATTGGGATTTTTTTCATTTTATTAATTAATTAAGCTGTGTTGAATATTTTTCCTAAAGGAACAATTGCCAATGGGCCATTAATTCATTTGTTTGTAGATGCTACAATAACCTGCACTGGTGTGTACTTTTTCATCAACCAGATTTAAATATTACAAAACTAACATATAGGTACCAGTGGAGATAGTGCAGGGTCTACCAACAGACCTAATTACTAAATTATTAAAGTTTAATAGCATATCGATCATTTTTTCAACATAACCTCTGAAATTTTTAATACAAATATAGGTACTTTATATAATACATAAATATACTTAACATCATATCATCTGTGCTTTACATACCTGAGTTGTTACGGTAAATAAAAATCAGACAAAGGAACCAAAGAAAGGAACTATTTTCAACAAAATCATATGCAGAAAGGAGAAAATTCAAACTACTTGCATCCATCAGAAGATCAAAACTTCTTGCAATATTACACCCTCTTTTTATACTCTCAGAAATATTGACTAGAACAGTATTAGAGAGACTCCAGTTTCTATAACTTGGTAGAGTAAAGAGAAGTCGAAACCGTTGCGATATTGCATTGCGCTGTTTTTGTATAATTCTCGGGGACATTAACGAAAATCATTGCCAGTAAAATTCGAAAAGCTTGAGTTTCTATGTCTCTGAGGAGAATAGGAATCCGAAGTTGCTGCACCATTGGACTGAACCCTTTTTTAATAATTTCTAGAGACATAAATGACTGCATCATTCGACAGGGTCGAGTTTCTACCTCTCTGTTGAATATAGAAAATCAAAATAATGTATCTTGTAAGACACCATTCAGTTTGACTTTAAATATAGTCGTGCATAGGTATAGAGCCGAAAAATATAAAAACAAAGCACGATTCAATACAGTTATGATAAAACTTTAAGATTTGATATTCAAACGCGGAGTCATCCTATACACTTCTATAATTTTCCGTTTGCTGTGTAATACATATATTGAAATAAGCCCTCGTATGTACAAAACAATAAAATTATAAATAAAATGGAATCTGCAGAAGTAATCCCCGCTCGGAAGCGCTGTTCCCGCTTATATGCCTCTGGTCTCCCTCCTATGGCGGGATGCGTGCTTCTCAATCGTGACATAAGGATTGGCCAATCATGTTAAAGGTTAGCCTTGTTGCAGATTTAATGATTCGGCTGTATCTCTCGTTGTCGAGTTTCGTAAAAAAACGCTGCAATAGGATTTCGGGGAATGGCTCCAGTAAACAATCGGGCTACTTTTTGCTGTGCTCGTAGACTACCATACGGGCCATTCCGGTGGTAGTGCTACATATGGGATATTCCGGGGTCGTTTGACTTACGTGAGTTAAATCATTTGGATCGGGATTCTATGACACAGGGTAGGAATAGGGAAAAAGTAACTTCGTTACATCCCCCCCTTACTTCGGAAAAAAAGAAATTTCATTGCTTTTTCTCTTGCCCTGAGGTAACGGCGATATCCTGTCGGATATAAATCAAACGGGGTGTTCTGGGCATTTCACACGTTATTGCTGGGTTTGTTTCGGGGCGTGTGTTCTGGTACTATTTCAAATTGAAACAGGGTTAATTTCTGGGCACGGGTTTCAGGTCTTTAATATGTATTCGGTTTAACTTTCGTTTTGTCTCTCCTTTGAGCTCATACACGACGGTCGAAATGACTTTATTTACCGTGCAGGGGCGGGGTATTTAAATGCTCAGGCTAGATTTACTCGCACAAGTTCAAAGATTTCTTGCATGCGAGCCAGGTAGTCGGCATCTAACTTTAATTCGGCGTTGGTGTCTGCGCTTTCGGGCTAGAGTTCGTCTGTGTCTCCAATATCGGGTTTTCGGTACGTAGCTTTGGGGACTTCAAGTTCTCTGCCAAAGTTTAGAAACGACGGAGAAAACCCGGTGGATTCTTGTCGGGAGGAGTTCAGGGCAAACACTAAGTCAGACAGGTTATGGTCCCACTTTTTCTGGCCGGATTCGCAGAACTGGGCCATCATGGTTTTGATCGTTTTGTTCGCTCTTTCTACTGGGTTTGCTTGCGGGGTATACCCGGTACGTAGCTTTGGGGACTTCAAGTTCTCTGCCAAAGTTTAGAAACGACGGAGAAAACCCGGTGGATTCTTGTCGGGAGGAGTTCAGGGCAAACACTAAGTCAGACAGGTTATGGTCCCACTTTTTCTGGCCGGATTCGCAGAACTGGGCCATCATGGTTTTGATCGTTTTGTTCGCTCTTTCTACTGGGTTTGCTTGCGGGGTATACGGTGGAGTGAACCGATGACGGACGCCTAGTCCGGTCAAGATTCCTCAAATACTTTACCGGAGAACTGCGTTCCATTATCGAATATTATGGTTCGGGGGCACCCAAACCTTGTTATTACTTTCTCGTATAAGGCATGGGTTACGGCACGTGCTGTGGCATTTCGGAGTGGCTGGCATTCCACCCACTTAGTAAATCTATCCTGCATTACTAAGAGGTACGAACGTCCCTTGGAAGATTTCGGGAGTGGGCCTACCAAGTCGATACAGACGGTGTCCCACGTATTCCAATTTACGGACGGTTGCATTTTGCCGGGTGCTTGCTGCTGGGAAATTTTGTATCTCTGGCACGACGAACATCTTCGGACATAGGCGGCGATATCGCGAAACATACCCGGCCAGTAATATCGGTTGCCAATTCGGGTGATCGTTTTCGCGATTCCCATATGTCCGGCGGTTGCGGCGTCGTGATTCTCCTGGAGAACGCTGACACGCGTTTCTTTTGGAACACATAGTTTCCACGGGTCGGCCATCTCGGGTTCAGTCAAATCTCCTGAGACCCAGAAATGGCGGTATAATCGGTTCTCACGGACACAGTAATCGGGGAATGCATTAGGGTTTTGTTGTACCTACAATGGTTTTCGGGTATACCACGAACAGGTTTCGTTATCCGGCACGGTCACAACGGCCACGGTCGGGATTTCGTTCGGCAGCGGGTCTCTAGACAGAGCATGGGCGATTCTGTTAAGTATGCCTTTACGGTATTTTATGTGGAAGTCGTATTGCTGGAGAAACAAGCACCATCGGGCTAGACGTCCAGTAGGACTCTTTCTGGAGTGCAACCACTGAAGACTTTGATGGTCGGTAATCACGGTAAAATGATAGCCTACCAAATAAGGGCGCATTTTTTCGATGCCCCAAACAATGGCAAGACATTCTTTCTCGGTCACGGAATACGCTTTTTCAGCCGGAGCTAAAGTGCGACTAGCATAACATCATCTACAGGATCAGAAAACAACCAAGAGGAAAGCCGAAAGTGATCCATTTTAACCGATTGGCTCCTTACGCTGGAAACAATGATGACCAAATAAACGATGCTAGAGTAAGACGAGTTAATCCGCCGGAAGACGAGTTGCCTTTTGAAGACTTCATGATTTATAATCGAGCGGTAAAAAAGCTCGGTATGGTGTTACTCAAGAAGAACGTTCACGGTTTCGGCCGATTACTCCTTGGCTCACTGTGTTGCAGAAGACCTTAGGATGTCCAGGGGAATAGCGGTTGTCTTTAAAAACAAGTTTGGACGGGTCGACGATCTACGAAAGCAGAATCCCAAAGTTGGAGAGGTGCTTGAAATTGTGGATAATGAGCAGATAGGCTATCTGGTAACAAAGCAGCTCTCCCATCAGAAGACAAACTACCGTGACGTATGGAATGCTTAAATAAATTGATACCGAAGATTGCTTGTGGACTTGACGGTTTAGACTGGAGAATAATTAGAAGTATGGTGGAAGTTATCTTCAGATTTAGTGGCATACACATTCTTGTCTGTTGCCACAACCCTAAAAGAATAACCGGAAGGAAGACCGTAGACTGCTACTTCTATAGGACGTCACAACGCAAGCTTGGATCTCTATGCAAATATCGCCATGGAGCTGAGGACCATTTTCGGGACGAAAATGTTTTAAGACGGGGGCATTGTAGCAAGTACTGCTCTGGATCTCGGAATGATAACTCATCGCCGATGAGTCATCGCCGGTGAGTCAGCGATGAGTCATCGCCGGTGAGTCATCGCCGTTGAGTCAGCGGTCGAGTGATCGAGTGGTCCGGAGCTCGCTGGAATATTCGCGAATGCACGTAGGCACTGAATATATAAGAAACAGCGCAGCATGGACCAGTCAGTCAAGTTTGGTACTCGCGACGAAATAAATAAATATACGTGCAAATAAATAGACTCTAGTACAGTAGTGTAGTAGTAGTTAAGTGTTTAGTTGGTTTTATAGTTTCTTAGTGTTTTAAGTGTAATTAAGTTATAAAATAAATCGTTTAGTAAACCATTGCGTGTTTTAATTCACACTACGAACAGTAAAAACGTTACATTATTATCAACGGCAACCGATTTGACGCTGAAAGGAAAATTAAAAATAATTATTTTAAAATAATATACTCATTAACATCATCATGCACAGTACACATTTAAGCTCTATAATTGCAAACAGCCTTTAAACACATCACATATACAGTTTTGTATCTTGTATCCATATACAGCATATTTTGTGTTTGAGGTATTTGAACTTGGACTACAACTTTTAAGGCCACACATGGAAAGACCTTTAAACAAAACCATTAACTCAAACTTTAAAAGCATTAAGAAAGAATATGCTGGATATGGATCCAAGAAACAAAATTGCACACATTAAAAATGTATCACCAACTCTACCCTCAAATTACGACTTACTTACTAGAAAAAAACCTACACTTCTGGCAGATATAGTTTTCCAAATCGAGGCCAATAATAATACAAAGGATCATGTAAAAATAAAATAATAAAAATATGCTTTTAAACATTTTTAATTACATAACAGATCTTTATATTCTATGACATGTTTGTATAAATAAAAAAATAACAGTCAAACTATTACACTAAAAACCTTAAAATACCAAAGTATAAAGTTTTAACTCATTGATAATAAGTCAACATAATGTAAATTGTTACTTTGAATACTCAAAATTGTACATTGGCTATACCTGTATAATACACAGCAAAATTGTAACAATATATAATAAAAAAATGTATTGAAATTTTGGTACACCCTGTACAACCAGTAATATACAATACAGTTAGTTTACATGTGAGTTATCACAACATTTAAAAAAACATAAATTAACAACTGTTTCTTTCATAATAATAACCATTTATTTATTTATTTTAATTTAAACATTAGATGAAGATATGGTAAACTTGTCTGTCATCCAGCTTTTATAAGTAAAACCCCTTTAAGATTTTTTTTAATAGACTTGACATAATACATAATAAAAGAAAATTGGTCAAGGAAACCCAAGCACGGTTTATGTCAATAAAAAGGTAAGCAATTATGGCTTCCATTGACTCATATTCAAATAAGTCATTTTATGACTTAAAAACTCTGCTATATTTATTAAATAAAGATAAACAACTTTTATCTCAATGATTATTATTATGTCATTTAAAATAATACTGATCCCTGTTTTATACCTTATAAAGGAGTTACGTAGTTAATAAAACTGTTTAAAAACAATAAAAATAATCATACAAACTGGTTTGAGATGGATACTATTTGATGAATGATAGTTAGAACATAATATGATGATTACATATGTAATGAAATAATGGTTTAATAATTTAGAAGCTTTGTGGCCTGACAAATTATAAATACCTATGTACTTTGTTAAATAAGCAAATAACAATAAACTGAAAATTTTAAATTAAAATCTAAATTTACTTATTGCGAAAATATTATTAAAATAATATTATATTTTCCAGATTTTTGTATTAACTTTAACTTAAAAACGTTTAAATTTAACATAAAAAGAATTTCCAAGAAATTTTTGACCCAAAAAAATAAATACCTTTTCTCCATATTGTTGACTAATTCAAGCTTCACATATTGTAAAAGTACCAGAGGACAGAGAAAATTGAGTCAATAATAATAATTATCATTAAGTTGTAGAAACATAACATTTAAAAAAAAGTTCAAACATGCAATTTCTCATAAATATATGATGTATTATGTTACTGTCCTGGCGCATTTTTTTATAAAAGAGTTAAAAGTAATCAAAGGTGATTTACCTGGAGATGCCACAATTTCTTTATAATCTGTGCACAATTTGGACGTTGAGTAAAACACATTAAACATCACTGTGAGTAGGCTAAAAAACAAAAAAGGTTTGTAAATGATATAAATGAATTAAAATTGGGGGTGTGCTTTACTATATACTTTTGTATATAACACTGGACACGATTTGCGGCTTTAAGATGTGTTTTGACAGTTCGGTGTTTTGTATTGTTATGATTAGTTTTTTACGAAAACAACTTAAAATGTTAACAAGGTGTATAAGTCCTTTTAGTCATGGGCGTCCCTTGCAATTTCGCCGACATGTATTTTATTTTACTATTAATTAAATATTGGATTGATCAAAATACAATTTGAGTATTCGGTTAACATATTTTCTTAAATTTTCCTTGAAACTGCTACGCCACTGTACAATACATATTGCAGCCAAATGGTAATTTTGACGCACATAACGCGTCTGGTGTTATAAGATCTAAAGGCCCACCAGACTTTTTTTCATCCTATTGTATCGCCGCATATGCCCACATATTACGGGAAATTCTGGAAGTTAATTTTTGTTTTTGCTGCCACGGACAGAAAGCATTTGTTAGCCGCGGCGCCGCTCTACGGTTGTTAAAAACGAACATAAAAACACGATGATCAATTTTTATTTATATTTTCATACAGGTTTCTGTATTTTATCGATATAACACGCTACAGGCAAGGAAATTGTATATAGGTTTTAATAAAATCTATTAAAAATTGCTTACACAATGACTTTTGTTCAATTTTGAATCTACGCTACTGTTTACAAACCACACATAGACTGTCAAATTGATAAGAAAATTGACGGACCATCGTTCCATAAAAATCGACGACGACGACACCAACCATCAGTTTTTGGCGTTTTTTACACGACCTTCCGAATCGTGGAGATACAAACGGATGAAAAAAAAAACGAAGTCTGTGAGGGCCTTAAGCTTAATTTTCATGTATCCGTCAGTCCGTTCATCCGGGAGCGCTCTTATTGGTCCAATTATAATTCAAAAATTATGACATTTTTTCCGTCCGTCAAGTTTTAACTTCGTACGTCTGACGGAGAAATTTAATAGTATATTAAAGAACTAATGTCATAAGACGTCATTTTGTCGCACGCGGACAATTTATTTATAATGGACAAGTGCGACAAAAGGTCTTATGACATGAGTTCTTTATGCTATTTTATCTATTTTGCAAACATTTCATAAAACAAATTAATTTTATACCTTATATTTAATTTGGACGAATTTTACTTTACATAGTACCTTTCAAACATTATCACATTCTTTCGCTATGGCGTCGTTAATTTACAATAAGTATTTACAATAAGCGGCTGTTAAAGAAGAAAAAAGAATTTTCTTTGGTGTTAAACAAAATTTATTGCACGAAAAGTCTCGTAAGTACTATAAAACAAATCATAAAAATATTATAACCTATAGGTATTCAATATTTTATTTTAAACCTATAAAATCAAAATTTTGGGTGGAATAAAGTACCTCATTAAAGAACCAAAAGCGGTGTTATAATGAAGTCATTATGAACGCGAAATAGATAAAATAATTTTAACTAATCTGTCACTACACATCTGTTTTTGACGCCTAAAGTTATTTTAAGATACTTTCAAATCTTTTAATATTCTTTTAATAAGATTGTAAAACGGAAATATAACGTTCTTTATGTGAATAATGTTCTACTTTTATGTTTTTATTTAATAAGAATAACGGAAAAAGGGAAAGGACAAACAAAAAAAAATTAAAACTAGAACTAAAAGGACCTGCTTTTTTAAAACTACATTTTAATGTACATTAAGGCTAGTATATTCGTTTTATAAGGTATATTTACCTACCTTTAAATTTATTAGACAGCTAACTGTTAAAGTTGCAATTGTTGACATAATTGTAACTATGACAATTAAGCATTAGGTAAATTTAGTAAAGTGAATATACTGACACTTAATTTCTATTTGTCGCCAAATCAATCCGTTAAGCTTAATTTTCATGTATCCGTTTGTCCGTCATCCGTATGTCAGTTTTTCAATAAAATCGTCCGATAAGAAATGTTCTAATTTTCATGCATACGTTTTTTAATGACGTTTAACGGATTGATTTTGCGACAAATAGAAATTAAGTGTCAGTATATTCACTTACTAAATTTACCTAATGCTTAATTGTCATAGTTACAATTATGTCAACAATTGTAACTTTAACAGTTAGCTGTCTAATAAATTTAAAGGTAGGTAAATATACCTTATAAAAAGAATATACTAGCCCTAATATACATTAAAATGAATAGTTTTAAAAAAGCAGGTCCTTTTAGTTCTAGTTTTTGTTTGTCCTTTCTTTTTTTTTCGTTATTCTTATTAAATAAAAACTTAACAGTAAAACATTATTCACATAACGAACGTAATATTTTCGTTTTACAATCTTATTGAAAAAATATAAAAATATTTGAAAATAAATTATCTTAAAACAACGTTAGGCGTCAAAAACAGATGTTTAGTGACGGATGAGTTAAAATTATTTAACCTTTTTCTGTCAGACGTACGAAGTTGAAACTTGACGGACCGATAAAATGTCATAATTTTCGAATTATAATTGGACCAATAAGAGCGCTTCCGGATGAACGGACTGACGGACAAACGGATACATGAAAATTAAGCTTTAAGCTTTAAGCTTAATTTTCATGTATCCGTTTGTCCGTCAGTCCGTTCATCCGGGAGCGCTCTTATTGGTCCAATTATAATTCGAAAATTATGACATTTTATCGGTCCGTCAAGTTTCAACTTCGTACGTCTGACAGAGAAAGGTTAAATAATTTTAACTAATCCGTCACTAAACATCTGTTTTTGACGCCTAACGTTATTTTAAGATAATTTATTATCAAATATTTTTATATTTTTTCAATAAGATTGTAAAACGAAAATATTACGTTCGTTATGTGAATAATTTTTATTTAATAAGAATAACGGAAAAAAAGAAAGGACAAACAAAAAAAATTAAAACTAGAACTAAAAGGACCTGCTTTTTTAAAACTATACATTTTAATGTATATTAGGGCTAGTATATTCTTTTTATAAGGTATATTTACCTACCTTTAAATTTATTAGACAGCTAACTGTTAAAGTTACAATTGTTGAAATAATTGTAACTATGACAATTAAGCATTAGGTAAATTTAGTAAGTGAATATACCTACTGACACTTAATTTCTATTTGTCGCAAAATCAGTCCGTTAAACGTCATTAAAAAACGTATGCATGAAAATTAGAACATTCAGGGTTCCCAGCATTGTTTTGTACTTTTTTTTTATGATTTTATGACAAATTTTTCAAATTTTATGACATTTTTTATGACAAGAATTTATTATTTCTAAAGTTATTTAATAAAATAAATGTAATTTTTTAACGGTTTATTATATAAAAATAGATATTTTTTCTCGCATCAAAATAAATATTTCTGCTATAATATTTTTAATATATGTTACTTTAGTATTTTATTATAATAGGTATTATAATCTCAAAATAAATAAAACCACAAAGGTATACAAATCTGAAATATTGGAGGCTCAAACAATGATAAACATGGGTCTCAAAAAAGCAAAAAAAAATAGTATATATACCTATAGGTACTATTTTTTTTGCTTTTTTAGACCCATGTTAATCATTGTTTGAGCCTCCAATATTACAGATTTTTTAAGAGTAGTTATGTAGTTATTGTTAAGGTACTTCGATAATTTCTTATTTCCTTCAGAAATAATATTTCTTGTTATTTTTAACTCTGCTTCCTTACTTGCCAAAATAGTATCAATTTCTTCAAGTCCTTCTTTGTGCCTTCCTTAGTAAAGTAATATAGTATAAAAATAAATTTACCTTTCTCATTATTTATTTCAAATTTAAAATTCATTTCCTAACCTAACTTCTTTTTCCTTCATAGTATGAAGTTCATACGTCAACAACCAAGGCCATATTTAAAACATTTTATTGCGTTTTATTCTACAGGACCGGCTTTAAATTTTATTTAACAAAATTTCCATTTTATAAAAAAGATCAAAGGTGAGAAAATTGTTAAAAAATAATGAAATTTTATGATTTCTATGACAAAATGTGAATTTTATGACATTTTAGGACAATTTAACCAATTTTATGATATTTAAAAATTTTATGACAAACGGGAACCCTGAACATTTCTTATCGGACGATTTTATTGAAAAACTGACATACGGATGACGGACAAACGGATACATGAAAATTAAGCTTTAAACGTCATTAAAAAACGTATGCATGAAAATTGGAACATTTCTTATCGGACGATTTTATTGAAAAACGTACAAACGGATGACGGACAAACGGATACATGAAAATTAAGCTTTAAGGAGTGTGCGATTATTCGAATTTACAAATTACTTGGGACGAATCCAATAATTCGATCCAAAATTACAGTTGAAAAATTTAAACTATTCAGTTTTAATTATTTAAATATTTAAATGGTTCAATTAAAAAAAATTATAATAATAATTATTGAAAAATTTAAATTTTATTTTATGTGAACCATTCGAAATATTTTTAACCATTTTAATATTTCATGTTTAAACAGTAAAAATGTTCTATTTAAAAGTTTAATCAATTCGAACATTATTAAAATACAATATTACTCAATTATTGTTTTCATTTAATTTTAAACACATAAACCTATTTTTAAAAATCTTAATTTTGATAGATTTTTGAAGTAGAACCATGGACGAAAAACCGAAGTGATTTTTATAGGCTGCTTTTAAACTATACAGGTGCCAGGTTCGGGCTATACAGTAGGTAAATTGCGTTTAAAAACTGTCTATTTTTAAGAACATATTACAATTCTGTTTACAAAAAGTTTCACTTTTAAATAATTTGGCACCCAAAAATCTAGATTCTTCTTGTATACCGGCAATACCCGAATTCCGCCATTGCCCGAAAAAATGCCCAATTCCAAATGCACAATTCCGCGCGCAAAAACAGCGAGAAATTTTAGTACACAAAAAGTGTCATATTTAGTAATAAAACTGGTTTGATCAATATTTTTGTTTGCAGATGCAATTCCAAACCAGGTTGAAACTATAGCATTCGTTTAATAGCAACTGCACAGGTAAAAAGTTCGAACTACAAACAAATCTACATAAATTAAAATCATCCTTTCTTACCGTTGTGGCCAAGCATACTTTCAAGTACTCCTCCTCTCGTCGCACCTTTACCTCCACGCTATCGCCCTTCTTGTGTATGTGTTGGTGATCGAGGATGGCGCACGATTTTTGGTAACGGATGCTACGTATCGTTTCAAACGATACGTCCCGCGTGTAGCATATCTCGTACCAGTAGTAGATGCCGTTTAGGAGGCCGTCGGCCGTCACCGGCACCGACAGGATTTCCTCGAATTGGCCTTCGATTTTTACCGTGACGACGTTCGACATCGGCTTGTTGTTGGAGCGGTTGATGTCCGGGTGCTCGGTCCCCTAGTAAACTTAATTCGATAAAAAAAACGCAATCGAAACATTCTTTTTAAGAAACTATATAAATAAACACAATTTATTCAAATTGCTTTAAAAATATTGTGCTGTATTTACAAGAGTTAATATATTCTAATTTTTTTAAAAGTACTTTTATCAGAGGCAAATTTGGTCGGCCGCTCCATTCGGTCGAGCGAGTGTCTCATTATGGGCACAAAATTAACAAAAAAAATCGGCCACTAGAAATTGTCAACAATATTAATGTTTATTTCCTTGCTCATCTTGTATCAAAACAAGAGCGAGGAAATCAACATTTTGTGAAACCATGTGGGGTGCATCAGAAATTACAGCGGATGCTAATTAAAATCATACTGCAGTCCTATCTTTTCCAACCTTTTTAATTTTTTATTCACGTTATTATCTCCGTTATAAACGAAGATATATTGTTTTAAAGCCAACTCCTCGGATAAAGTTTTCGTATGATATCCTCCCGAACCGATAATCTTATTTTAGAGATGTTATCATAAATTTTTATTCAGATTTTAATTTTAGCATATGGGTCAGAATTTCTCAAACGGGCCACCTGAATTAGGTCAAAATTAGTTTTTGATTGTAGATACATTTTTTCGATAGTATTTTACATCACTAACACAAATCCTAAAGGATTTTGTAAAAAAAAAATTTTCAATTGACATATTCATGATATTAAAAGTAAAAGTTTTTAATAATTAAAAAATAAAAAAAAATCATTATGGCTAAACTAATTATCCGATTCCAACGATTTAACTAGCGTTGGAATCTTGTTTTGACATAGATTCTTTGTTATTTTTTTCAATTGTACAATTTTCATTTAGGTCGATTTTTTTTTGTTTTTTTTATAACAAATTCGGAAATAATTGGCTTCTGCGCCAGCTATCGACTCGAAAAAAAAAAACACATATACTCCAATCATTTTTCGAAATTATGCTGCTGAGAAAAAAAAATGGCCCGCAGGTTCCAGACCACCGTAAGACGTCGCGTCACAAGCGCGTACAGCGTACACGGTTCGGAGCGTGAGCTGACACCGCGCGCGGCCACAAAAGGACGAATAACTTTTTGTCAACCTGCGGGCCATTTTTTTTCTCAGCAGCATAATTTCGAGAAATGATTGGAGTATATGTGTTTTTTTTCTCGAGTCGATAGCTGGCGCAGAAGGCAATTATTTCCGAATTTGGTATAAAAAAAACAAAAAAAAATCGACCTAAATGAAAATATTACAATTGAAAAAAATAACAAAGAATCTATGTCAAAACAAGATTCCAACGCTAGTTATATCGTTGGAATCGGATAATTAGTTCAGCCATAATGAATTTTTTTATTTTTTAATTATTAAAAACTTTGACTTTTATATATGTCAATTGAAAATTTTTTTTTTACAAAATCCTTTAGGATTTGTGTTAGTGATGTAAAATACTATCAAAAAAATGTATCTACAAACAAAAACTAATTTTGACCTAATTCAGGTGGCCCGTTTGAGAAATTCTGACCCATATACAAATGGGCAAAAGTAAAAAGAATTTTTTTCTCTAAATTTGTGACATTTTGGAGTTTTACTATAGCCCTATCTTTTTTTTGCATTTTTTTTTGGCATTATTGTCTGTTATTAATAAAGAAACACTGTTTTAAAGCAAACGCACCGGATAAAGTAGGAATTTCATGTGTCCCTCGTTTCTAGCGAAAAATCAGGTCACGTGGCATAATAAAATTGCCACTTCAAAAATCGCTCGTCGCTGTACCAAATCGCGATCAACTATTTAAAGCGGCGACGAACGTCAAAAAAAATATTGACATTCAATGTTCACTGTTTGAGTTTTTTGCATGGCATATGGCACGCCGTTTTAGCATTTATTAGATAAAAGTTTAAAGATGAAAGTTTAGCACTTAAATTATGTTTTAACAGAAATTTATGAAGTTACTTTTTTTTAAATTCAAAACAATTGATAGTCAAAAAATATTTTAAATATAAAATGCAGGTGTTAAACTTGATAAAATATTGATTTTTAAAAGTTTTAGTTACAATATTTTATTCTACAAAATTATTGGTTTAAATTTTTAAATAGTCATTTAAATGAAAGATGATACATTTTTGATACAAAATTCTCACATTACATTTTAATGTAAGTTTTAAATTTTAAAGTAGTAATTTTTGGATTAAAAATTTATTGGCCATGATTTAACAATTTTAAAGTAATACATTTTTAAGACAAAATTTATAACTTTACATTTAAATGTGTCGATAATTTTTAATTACAAAGTGTAAACGTAGCTTTAGTATACGCACAACCCATACGTTTGGATGTACAATGGCCGTCCAATGGACGTCCAATGGATATATGTGCTGTGTGGGAAGTGTCTGGGATTGGAGCCAATTTTTTTCTAATTTTTAAGAGATTTTTTTTTAAATATAGTGTTGGCTTTTTTGGTAAGGTTAAAGCTGGATTTAGCCAGCATTTAACATAATTTAATGTATAAATAGGTTAAAAATAACGCAAACAATTTTTTATGTTTTTAGTATACATTTTAGGATAAAATGTCTACTAAAAACATAGAAACATAAAAAAATTACCGTATATTCGTTGATGTAATCGGAAATCCCAAAATTCAAGGCATTTCCATCGTACACCCGGTTGCAGAACTGTAAATAATAGGAGTTGGCGAGCTGAAACTTGAGGTTGACGGCCAGCGGCAAAATCTGCAACTGGCTACCGTTATTCGCTTCGGTAGGTATGGCCGTCTTGCACAGCGTGCCGTCCGAATTGATCGGATCAATGAACAAGATGTTGATGGCCTCCAGCTCAAGCAGACATTCCAGCGAGTCTTTTTCCACAAAAATCATTTTTTTGGGGGTCGATGTGGTTCCGCTTTATTATTAACTCGTAGAGGTCCAACTCGTGCGCTTCCTTGCATATGTGGTATACTTGGCAACCTGTCCACAAGAAGATGATGATTAAAGTTTGTGTCTAACGGTTCTGTTTTTAGAACAATGGTTTTGTTTAATCAGGTTTAGTGTTGATTACAGAGGGCCCACAAAATAAAAAAAAGTTGTGTGTGCTAAGAAACAAACCATCCTTGTTTATTGTATTTTTTCCGATGAACAGGAATCCAAAGTCATAATTGAAGGTTACTGGTCACTTAGGGATGGAAGTTCAAAAGTTCTTCCTTACCAGTTATCCATGTCATTATAGAAATGCACTGTCGAAATTCCAGCCCTTTAAACCCAGCGGTTTGGTATGTGCTTTGTCAGTCTCACGGAACAGTTTTAACTATATGTATATCGTCGGGTTACTCCCAAAACACTGTTTTGAGTTATTTTCATTGGGTCTATTTAATAAAAATGAAGTTATACCATTTTTGTTGCGCTCGACATTGATCGGTTAAAAAGATTCGGTTATGCTCGTAACTACCCGGACAACAATCGGGATTTCCTGGTGAAGTCATGATGATATCACAACGTGATTTTTTTATCAGGCTGTGATATCCTGAGTGCATACACATGCTTCATCGCAGTGATATCATGTAGAACTCACGGTGTGATATTTGCAAAATTTGCGCGTGCGTATGAGCCCTGCGAACTACAAATTTAAAACCTAGTTTGTTATTCACATTACACCGTTATAATTTATAAAACGTTGTTTGAATATCACGAATGTTGTCCGGGTTCAATTAAAAAAGATATTTCAATGTTTAACAAAACGTGAACGTTTTGTTAAACATTGGAATATCTTTTTTAATTGAATGACAACATTCGTGATATTCATACAAACATCATGTCGTGATTTTCACAAATTTTATTCATACTGATATCATACGGAAGTAACCGCGTGATAAATGAAAATCATGTCGTGATTTTTATGCCACCGCTGTTTGCGATTGACCGATGACCTAAAAAATCATGTCGTGATTTTTTATTCCAACGGTGTTTGGATAATCATTTTTGCGCCACGTTCGTAGACTTTGAGAAAATGTATGTTAATCCCTAATTAATTTCTTCTAAGGTTAATTTACATTTAATATTTTCTTGGATTTAAATTAACCATGTATAGTTTAATTTAAATCCAGAGAAAATATTGAATGTTAAACTGTTGATTCAATTGTTAACATACTTTGACCAAACACCAATGGCATAAAAAATCATGTCGTGATTTTTTATGCCATCGGTGTTTAGATATTTATTTTTGCGCCACATTCGTACATTAAGAGAAAAAGTTTACCTACATATATATTGAAAACAGTTTTTATAGTTAAATATAGAATTTATAAAAACTGTTTTCAATATATATGTAGGTAAACTTTTTCTCTTAATGTACGAATGTGGCGCAAAAATAAATATCTAAACACCGATGGCATAAAAAATCACGACATGATTTTTTATGCCATTGGTGTTTGGTCAAAGTATGTTAACAATTGAATCAACAGTTTAACATTCAATATTTTCTTGGATTTAAATTAACTATACATGGTTAATTTAAATCCAAGAAAATATTAAATGTATTTAACCGCAAAAACTGTTGATTCAACATAATTTTTCTCTTAGTGTACGAACGTGGCGCAAAAATGATTATCCAAACACCTTGGCATAAAAAATCACGACATGCTTTTTTAGGCCATCGGTCAATCGCAAACAGCGATGGCATAAAAAATCACGACATGATTTTCATTTCTCACGCAGTGACATCCGGATGATGTCCGTATGAATAAAATTTGTGAAAATCACGACGTTACGTTCTTATGATTTTCATTTATCACGCGGTGACTTCCGTATGATATCAGTATGAATAAAATTTGTGAAAATCACGACATGATGTTCGTATGAATAACACGAATGTTGTCCGGGTAAGTTGTCCTTGCAGAAACAATTTTAAGTTAAAAAAAGTACTTATCTCAAAAAATTAAAAAATGGAGTTATCTTATTCTTGCAGTAACTCGACGATATAGATAATAACAGTTAACGGTTTTTCTTAGAAGTTTGATCAGTTACCCCTTATTTTAACTTTTGATTCGGGTTAGCGCGAAAAATACAATAAATAAGTATGGTTTGTTCCGTAGTACAAACATTTATTTTTATTTTGGAGCCTGTGTTATTAAATATCCTTAAAAATCACAGGGTTTAAGTGTAATTATTGAAAGTTTATAGGGCATAAAATAAAAACTTTTTTTATTAAAAATTAAAAAATGTTTTTCTACGACCACTATGTAAAAGTCACATTTCGTATTGGCACCATTGCTTAGAAAATGAATCTTTTCATTGGCAAGGCAAAACTCGAATGTAAAGTGACATTTCTGTGTGAAAAGTGACAGGTCTGTTTGAAAAGAAATTGACAGCATAGTTTGACATTCGTTTCAAAATTTGTATATGCATATATGCATGTATGTCTAAATATCATTTAGAACACAATTAATTGTGTTTGTATAATAAATTCTAATTTATAGTGCCTTTATTTAAATTGATAAGGTGAGTTTATTGATTTTAACTAACTTATACCTTAAAAATTAAAAGAATAAGATGAAAGTAATTTTAACAGCTGTCAAACACGTTTTTAGGTTATTTTGTTTTGTATTTGAAAATAATATAAAATAAAATGGTCGTAGAAAAAACATTGTGTTTCACTCGTGAGAAAAGCTCGTGTTAATGCACTTAAACACTCGCATGAAAAAGTCGCTTTTCAACACTTGTAAAACAAATTATTATAATATCTACTCAATTTAAAAAAAATATAAAAAATTAAACAAAATCTTGTCACCTAGATAAAAATAAAGAAATTGTATTTATAAAAATTCAAAATTTATAAGTTAAAAACTTAGCAAAGTTTTGTGCGTGATAATTTACTACAAAAAAAATACTTTTTTTATTTTTAAAACGTCCTTAAAAAATAATACCGACCGGTCACCACACCTTTATACCATCGGACAGCACACCTTTATACCATCGGACAGCCTTTATTTACATAAAGATGTGGAGACCAATAGCAAACGCAACCAATTTTCTAAAACGGGTTTTTTAATCACTTTTGCCGTATAAATCTTGTAAACTAATAACACCAAAAACAACAAATATTCCAAGTATTGACCCAAGTCTTGAAAAACCAATATATGCCACAGAATCGCTAAGCAAAGAGACGGCCAAACCCAAGAAATGATGAACGGTAACAACGAGCAGGGGTGACTGTCAACGTCAGTAATCCGGGACGTCGTGACGCCAGGACGCAGCATCCAACATCTTGTATATTGTATATATTACTTAAATGCAAATAATGTTGTAAAACCAATATGCTACCTTGTGAAATTGTTACTGTAAATGCTGTGATATTAATTGTAAAATAAACTGATTTGATTTGATTTGACTGCGGACTACAAGCCGAGAGGTCGTGGGTTCGATTCCCATGTAAAAAATTCAAAGAAAACTGTAACTTAAAAACTAATGTTTAATAAATTCCAATTTCGTATGTAAAAAGTGTTATGATTATCCATCTCCCTTTAACCCCTCTTCTCTTTACCCCCCACCTTTACTCCACACACGGGTCAACCTCTTCCGCCGGCCCTGCTTTTCTATGTAACTTTTCAGAAGGTCAAAAAATCGTTACTGTGTACTTTTATAAAAACTTATAGGCAAAAAGAACGAAACAGAAGTTTTCGGGTAGTCGAATAGTCAAATTCTATTTATTCTTTTATAAGATATATAAAATTGAAGATGCAACAGCGCACTCCTCTGTTTCGTTTTAGTTGGGCAAGTATGCAAAAAACCTACCCAACCTTTCCCTTGTCCAGGGCAGTAACGTTTTTTGTTCTCCTGAAAAGTGACATAACACATATTGCAGAATCAAAGACAATATATTTTTTTAAACCAAGTTTTGTAAATATATTACTTTATTTTAGCGTTTTCTTAAAAAAACAATATTTTTAAATTGAAAATTTATGATATAAATAAAAAAAAAATAATTTAGAAAAATCTCAAGTAGATCTAAAGAAAATACAACTTACTGTAGATTAATCAATAAATTGTTTAAATAATTGATATTTTTGATAAAATGTAACTAAAACTACAGTTTTTACTATAAATACAACTATTACCTTTTTTGGCCATCAAAAACCCAAATAAAGGAAAAACGTTCATGTCCACAATTCTTAAGTTCGGATCCGTGTAACTGTTGGCAAGCCTGGTAATGGCGTCGATCAAATACTTGTCATTTAAATATCGCAGCACTTCGTTCGAGACGTGTATGCAGTCGCATTTTTTGTCTCTGTCGACCACCTTGAACTTTAGCTCGCTGTCGACCACCGTCGCTTTAAGACGCATCGTCTCCCCGCACTGCATGTAGATGGGGTGGTCCAGTTGGAAGACCGCTTGTTCCCATGCTGATAGACAGTTGGGGTCATGGGGATTGGTGGTGATTTTAATGTCTTCGGTTAGGTTCAAGTCGAACCATACTACCAGCGAGTTGATCCAGTCTGATTTAAGAACTCTGATAAAACAATTTTATATTATTCAAGATATCCATTACATGTAAAAAATAACTAGGAAAGTGATGATACGAGCTCCGAATATCTTTAATGTGAGAAATTTAGAACAAGTAGGTGTTTAATATATGTCATGGTTGCGTCCACTTATACAAAGCATCACCAAATATCCTACTTATGTTTTTGCTTTATGCAAATTAAAAAAAATATATTTTGTCACATTGAAGGTTTACACCTCGACGATGATATATTACTTAATGCTTTTGATGCGAATGATCTTAGACACAAAATGCGTTTTTTAATAGATTTGGTAGATTTTAATTAGCCAAAAGGTATTTTATTTATTTTGAACTAGAACGCGATTGTTCTTTTAAATTAAATTTTGAGATTAAAATAAAAATATTGATCTTTTTAAAAAGCCAAATAGTTGTAAAATTTACAATATATTAAACAATTTAGCGAAAAATTTATTTGGAATAATTAACCCGGCAACCGGGTGGAGTCGTCTTGCACGCGCTGCACCTGCGTGTCTGCGCAGCGTTGACACAGGTGCCTCTTTCGAACTCTTTTAATTAAAAATTACTTGGTGGCTCCTCTTTATTTAATGCGACTTTTGCAGTATAGTATATTACACTACAAATTAAGAGAGACTCTATGGATTGGCTGATGATTTTTTAGGGGGAAAGATTCAAGACAAAGTTAACAAGACGAAACCGGCAATAGTCGACGAATTATGAAGAGCTATCGAAAAAGAATACGGACAGATACCACATGACAATGTCATAATGACATCTTCGGACGTTTGCGATTCCATTGCTTCTAATTGTCAGGAATGCCTGGAGCACGACGATCACGACTGAAAATTGGCGTTAAAAGTAAAAAAAACTGTTCTTTCCGCTTTCTTGTGACACCCTAAGTTGGACTAAAATAAATTATGCTGCACTAAAATAAATATTGATTTTACCAACAGTAAACCAGTGTGTATACATTTTTTTGGGATACCCTGTAGTTTGATTTAGTGCAGAGGGTTTAAAACTGCTTCTTGCCGGGTTAAAAATTGATTTACATTTTACGTCAAAAATTTGCCTAAAAATTTGTAAATTTGAAAAATTTATAAAAAATTAAGAAATTAGCTAATTTGGTTAATTTTGTACAATAGGAACAAACATTTTTACATTGACACAAGTTTTTTAAATTTAAAAATTTAGCTTTTAATGTTATATTGAAATAATCAATAAATGAAATTAAATATTGAAATTGTTTATTCTTTTTTCAATTAAATATTAATTTAAATTAAAATGAAATAAAGATATTATTTAACGCTGTGGCTCCCGTCCCGAGGCGGGACTTAAGTTCAGTCCCGATTGACGTCATAATTTTAAGATTTGTTATGTTATAATAAAATAATAATAATAAATTGTACCTGTATACATGTTAAGGGCACTTTAGTTACGTCATAAAACCAAACCAACCCAAACTCAACAACACAACCCAACCGACCCCGCCCCATTGGACCCCCCCCCCGCCCCATTGAGCAAAAAACCCAACTAAAATGGGCAAATTTATGTTACGATAAAAATAAAACACTTTTTAACAAAGAAACAACAAATTTATAAAATAAAAAAAATAAAAAAAGTTTGACAACTTCTAGTGGGATCGAACCCGGTACCTCTCGCATGCCAAGCGACCGCCCTACCATCTAAGCCATCGAGCTTGACACAAATTATAAAATCTCGGGGAATAAAAACCGATTTACAGTGTGTGACGTCAATCGGGACTGAACTTAAGTCCCGCCTCGGGACGGGAGCCACATCGATTATTTAAAGGTGCTATCTAAATTAATAAATATTAAACATAAACTTTTTTAACAAAATTATCTGTGGTTTAAAAGTTCTATTCATTCACTTTTGTTCTTTCATATGACGTTTTCATTATATCATTATAATTATAAAAAAATAAATAAATTACTTATTTGAATATACAAATTTAAAGTAAAACTTATTTATCTTTTTAATTATCATAGATTAACTTATTACCAAAGTAAAATTGTACTCAAATAAAATAGTGAAAATAACTAAAACTTATAACTTCAAAATTAGCATGCCAAGTTTTAACACATAGGACTAAAACCTACTTAAGCTCGATGTTGTAGCAAAAATCGTCGTCGTTGATGATCTGGTCGAGCTGTTCCCAGTTGGTAAAGTCAATGTGGCATATCTTGACGGTGTCCGTGCGGCATGTCTTGTCCAGCACTTTCTTGGTGATGTACTCGCCCTCGTAAGGTTCGGGGTCGGCGCGCCGTATACAAACGTTGCGTAAATTCAGCGCAGCAATGTCCGTGATGAAGCGGTTGTAGCAAGTAAGTTTGCTGAAAAAGGCGGAGCTAGGAAACGAGACTCAGAATTTTAAAAAAAATATAAGTATGTATAAAATTATATAAAAAAACACAATTGAATCGCGTGATCTACGCGTAGCAAAGTTCTTATTAGTAAATTTGAAGGTTGTGGGTCGTGCTCCTACCGATAAAGGGACAATCACGTGCATAGAACGAGGTTTTATTAAGTTTAGTCCGTCTACTACGTGAAAAGTTTGTGGCCTTAAAATGTAATAATTTAGTGGAAAAATAAAATTTTAATTTTAATAATAATTTGACATACAATTGCGCAATTTTTTAAATATTATTAATGACAGAAATTGAGTTTGAATAAAAAAATCTATATTTATTATAAATAATGGTCCATGACATTATGTTTTGAAGACGATTTCAGGCATATAGCCTCTCAGGCTATTTTGAACAGAGCACATTCTAAATGGTTAATTTTGGACCTTTTTTTAAAGATTTAGGTCCCTTTCTCAGCAATAATGCTCTAAATATTTACTTTTAATATGGAATATCTAATAAATCAGCATACACCAAAAACTTGTGTTCAAAGTCAATGGTTTCTCACTGATCCATTGCCTGGTAACGTTGGCAATTAACTGTAATGCCACATTTAATTTTTTTTAGCGATAATGCCATCAGCGAGAGGATCACACTATGCAGTCCATTATCGTAAAAAAATAGGGTAGTGATAAGTGACAGCATGCCTGGCGGATGAATCGCCTGGCAATAGGAAGCATTTTACTTAAAGAACAAACGAGGCTAACCAAGAGTGGAAAGGGTTATCATCTGCAAAAACCAATCAGTACTCTTAACTAACCTATTACGTAAATTAGCAACATTAAACACGTTCAGGTACCTACACAACCCTAAGAGCGGTTCTTTCTCGTAAAAAAAACTATACAAAACAAGGAGGAACAGTAACATTAATGCTACTAATTAGTAGCAAGACAATAGTAAAAAATAATACAAAACACAAACAAACTAAGCCGTCCCAATTCTTCTCGCTGTTATTCACGGGATTATAGCAGAGCAGGACAAATACATCAATCACCAATAAACAAAAGTGTGTAAACTTATCCAGACAAAAATAAACATCTGGAACCTAGGAACTTATATACCCTACGTCGAAGACCACGGCAAAAAGGGCTTTTGGGTAGGACTGAAAACAATACTAGCCGCCTCAGGCGTCTTCAACGCCGCAATTAAAATACCACGAACAGGCTGGGAAAGACAAGATCTCCGCCAGACATATCAATTTCCCTACAATAGCAGTACGCTACAGACTTGGTAGGTTCCATAACCATTACGACAGGAAAGGTATTACCAAAACAGCGACCGGCACCCGAAAACAGTCCTACCACGATCTGCACAAACGTAAACATTAGAGCAGTGGGTAATAGTAAACACACTATAGCAACAAACAATTACAGAGCAGAATCAGAGGTAAACACACAACTCGGCATTTACTTAATAGGCACACTAAACGTACGCGGGTGCAGAAGGGTGAAAAAAGGGGCCTTATAGACAATATACTAGACCATTACAACATGGACATTAGGGTGGAGTGTAAAGGTCGAAAAAAATTTTTTTTTCGTATTTCTTTTTTCCTGTATTATTTATTGTTGACCACATATGAGTACATTAACTATGCATAAAATTTTGACTCTAGGACTTTATGAATATACTGATAATTATTATGTCAATAGATTAAAACCAATATTAATCTTTTTGTCATGTCCATGGTTTAGTATTAGTTATAGTCCCATCCGATAGAGGCGCTCACCGCGTCGTTATCAATCAATAAATAATTTTTGTAAAGCGACTTAATAATCGAGCGGTTGCAAAATGCCTAAAACTCGTAAAGATTGGCGATCTCGTGTATTGGGTGAACCACAAAAAATGTCTGAAAACATGTTGCCGACATACCGTACCTTCACTTGCAAGTTATACATAGGGAAAATACATTGTAGGTGGAACAGAAAGTGGAAGTCGGCGCGGTCAGCGCGAAACGAAAATGTTCCCAGAAATTATTTTGACGAGTGGATGAGTAGACTAACATGCGGCGTAACAGGTGACCTTGTTTACTGGTGATTAAAATTTTATTACGTCCAAATAATTTCTGAGAACTTTTTCGCTTTGCGCTGACTTCAACTTGTCTGGTCCACCTACAATGTATTTTCCCTATGTATAGCTTGCAAATGAAGGTACGGTATAATGATATTATTTGTTGGTCAGAAATAATTTGCTTGAATTAAATGGTGGGAAAGACGATGCTATCAAAGATGTGTGTGAAATTATTTCCTGTGTCATCGAGAAAATATGGAATAAATTAAACTTTGATTCATATTGTTAGCCATCAACAGGTTGTGGAGAAGTTGATTTCATATTACAACAAGTACAAGGGCGTGAAAAAACTTCGCAATGATGTAAAAAATAAGTTATTCCTGGACGAGTCCCAAAAACTATTTGATATTGCTACTTGTAAATGCGATTCAAAGAATTCGGGCAAATGTGCTTTTAAAATTTGGTTGCAATAGGATGTGATGGTATCGCGGTAAATAGAGGACATCGTTTGTCATCGTTTTACTGAAAAAATAACTTAGTCGCCGTCTACAGTGGTTTGTGTGTTTACCTCGATGGTACAATAACAGGGCCGAAAAGTTTTTCAGGTGTTATTGGTAAAGAACTGGAGAAGTGCCTGAACTATAAAGTAGTGGATTTTGAAGTAATCGACGTAAAATTGCCCGAAATTGATGCTAGTTTGTTGAACATGTTTAACACGGATCAAAAAAACTTGTACCAAATTTTCTCAGCGATATCTTAAGGTACAATTCCCACTTCCTTACAAGGATCTTTGTTAGCTATTCGTCACCCTAATATAACAAGGTTGTATGTTAAAAAACCGAAAAATTTCAGTGTATGCTTCTACAAGGTTTTATGTAATCCACCCTTGACATACAACTTGAAAATAACTCTATATATATATATGTATACATAGAATATACATTCTATAGAATTATTTTTAAGCGGTATGTGAAGCGTAGGCCACGTATAATCCTGTAGAAACATAATGTTTAGTTTTTTTTAACATACAACCTTGTTATATTAGGGTGACGTATTGCTAACAAAGATTCAGGAAAGCTAGCACATTCCCTATGGCTGACGTGTGCTAATAGGATTATTCGTTTATATGTGGGGACTGCAAATACATCGGCAAACCTAAAAGTGGTTTTACATCAAAACCAAGCCTACGTGCAAACATGGTCCTATTCACATATTTGATATTACTAAAAGAGCATTACACCTCCAGAAAAACTTGAAGGCCTTAAAACTATAGTTATAAAGAATATTCAGCGAAATATACATCCCGAAAACCTATTACTTGCTATGTTACCTATAAGATATCTATCGAACTAGCTTTGCGGAAAATATTAAAGGCGAGAAAAGAATCAAAATGTTCGAGATTACGGGAATTAAAGCTTCCACAACTAAACACTGAAGCATTACGTTATTACGAGTTAATTCACTGGGCGACAGAAAAGGTAACTGAACCACCTATGACTATGAAATACGATGACAGAAATTACCGATATGATTTCTTCGGGCGACCATTTCCTATTCTTCCAAAAATTTCCGTGTCACACCCAAGCATGGAAGGCTGTGTAAAACTGGTTATAACCAGTATACTGAATCTTCAGTATCGGTTTGTGGATCGGAAGCAAGAGATGGTTTCATCAGAACAAGAATTAAAGCCAGAAAATAATTACCAAATTTTGATACCAAAAATTCGCGAAAAAGAAGATCTCATTTCTACCAATTAACACTCCTGAAGTTACTTAAAGCTTATGATTTACTATTAAATATGTTTACGTTTCACGTTAATTTTACTAAAATAAACTTTTTATTTATTAATAATGCTATTTTTATTACTTTGATTGAAGTCATATTTTTTTAGAATTTTCAAAAGTTCGAGTTTGATGCGCCACCTCAAGATATTAAAAAATTGGAATATTTTTTTGATATTTATTTATTTTACGCCTTTAGTCAAAAATTAATAATACAGGAAAAATCAATTAATAAATAAAAAAAATTCACTCCACCCTAATGGACATCATAGCGCTACAAGAAATGCGCGCTAACACTAAAAGGTACAAACAACAAAATGACTAGAAGGGGGTCGCGATCCTCGCAAGAAGGAATAGGTCATAAAAATGACAACTTTTGGACACTGATTCAGTCAATGATGGTCAAGCCGTAGCCTACGACTAGGAATAGAGGTCTTTACAGCAAACTAACAACTCCCCAACTTCAAACAGTAATCCCAAATGTTTGAAGTAATACTAAGTTCCCGGTCTAGGGGGATCCCGCGTCGTAAACAAATTTAAGTGAGCGTAATTGTCCCCTAAACACCAAAAGGTCTATCCCCCCCGTCCCTTACTCCAGCGAAACCGGGAGAGGCTATTAAAACTATCCGCATGTCGACACCAAATAGGGCACAGTACCGGACGCGGTGGACATTCGCACTCAGCAAACACGGGTAAAGCCGTGCAGTTGCTGGTGGCGGAAAAAAATCGCCGTAAGGTAACGGAGGCTTGTGCGGGGCTCGGGAGAGATGAGGCAATTGGGCCATACGACTCTTATACTTATTCTAATTTCTTTTTAAATTTTGTTTTTTCCCTAAAAACCCAGTGGTTCAGGTTTTATATATAAAAAATGCTCTTTTTCCAACCCTGATTTATATTTACTGTAACAGCGTTATAAATAGGAAACCATCTAACTGTAACTATTTAAATTAAGAAGATTCTATAATGGTTTCAATGCGTTCCAGCACTCGTTTCCAAGAGAAATTAAAAAACCATTTGAAAGGGCTAATAATTAATTGCGAATACTGTCTCTTTGCATTTATGATGAATTTCGGATTCTCAGATAACTAGTCACGGTAATTTTAATTTGAAGGTTTTTATTTTTAAGTTAAAACAATTTAAAAATTTACGAATACTCATTTACAGTACTCTAAATTTAGAGTCTAAAAAGTGAAGAACCGTTTTAAGAGGTGCAGATTTTATTTTAAATGGCTAATATGAATTCTTAAAAATTTACTCCCAAAAAGACAGATCAACATCTACACTCAAAAAATCGGTTAAAATGGCACAATAAATAAAGATTTTATAGGGTGACTCGCAAACAATGTAGATTGTTTGCGAGTCACCCTATAAAGAGTTATTTTCTAAATATTTATAATACAGATAAACTGCAATTAAAATTTTTTGCCAAACTAAAAAAAGATAAATTTTAACAATTTTGGTAATTTTTAAACAAATTTATAGGGTATACAAAAATAGGGTGGCTGTAGAAGAACTACAGGCTAGGGTAATACAAACCTACGCAGCCATTACCCAAAAACAAATAAAAAAGGTAACTATAAACGTACGTAAACGAATTCAGAAGTGTATTGAAATAAATGGTGGAGTAGTAGAGAGTTTTCAGACTTTTCAATTTGTTGTGTTTTATTGATGTTTTAAGTTCAAGCGATCTATAAACTGTATTGTCGTCAACACTCGACACTGACCGGGGCTGGGACTTTTGTGCGCGAACGCTCAAAGACGCAACTTCATACCTAGATATTGCATACTTGTTTAAACATTTGTACAATCATCATTATTTATGGTGATTTTACAAATTTTAAAACAAGTAGTAGATATAATAACTATGTTTAGAGGTTCGTCGGTAAGCGTTTGCGCAGGAAAGTCCCGGTCTTGCTCATTTAATATGATATACTATATCAGATATAGACACATAATAAATCATTATGGCATCAGTAATAGTCCGATTTCATTATTCAATGTGATTTAAACCAATCATAAAAGTTGGCTTTTGTCAGACAGTTGTAACCTAACTTTATACTTTTAATAATTGTGGTTTTAATTGTTAAAATAAATTCATACAGCCATGTTGCGCATGGTTAAAATGGAACTATAACATGGATAACTAGAAATTTCGGCTAAATAAATTAATAGTGTCAAGAAGAACAAATTAGAAAATGATCTTAGAAGATGCAAATGGAAAGATAATGGTATATGAATGGACAAAGCAAAGAAAATTGTAAAATATTGGAAAAATTCAACGAATAATAATGAAATTAACAGTGATTTTTTAATAACTATTAATGATGTTTTTTAAATGTATGTGATGATTAAAAGGTTATAAACTATTGGAAGACAATATTAAATAGGAATGAATAAATTAAGAAAAAACAAGTGTGGAAAAAAAGTGAGAAAATAGACATAAATTAATATAAAAATAAAGTAAAAAAGTACATACGAGGAAGGATTCAAGAGATGCAGTGAACTAAGATTCTCTTAATTGAGACCCTTTATCATATTATTCTTCTTCCTAATGGACTCTTACTGACACAGATACAAGTTTTAATGTCTCACGGATTGAGCCATTTGACAAAGTGAATATTTAAATCTTGAAACATCCACTCAATCACTAAATCACTAAAAGGTCAAAGCTTCTTGATCATATTGAACATTTTTAAACATAATGAGTTGGCCAAATAGTTTCTAAAGTAAGCTAAAAGCCTTTACCCCTGAACTCAGACACTGCTCTGTGTTCAGATTGATGAAGAAAAAGAAGGTTTCATGTATCGTTTAACAAAGATATAATGTTGTATGCCATTATGTAGGCCTTAGACCTCAGCACAAAAAGACTCGTTTCTTGGCTCAATAAGAATAAAATGAATGAATGCATGCATTTCCTATGTTGTTTTTATATTTTCCCAGCTTTATAAAAACTAAAACGTCAAAAATATACCTGTAAGTGACTCCGGTGACGTAAAGATCGGCGCTGGCCGGTATCACCTTGAACTTGGGGTAGTTGACCAGAGTCTTGAGCCCGTGCACCAGGCTTTCGAGCGCGCGTTCGCCGAACAATGCGATATCGAAGATCTCGGTAACTATAAGGTTGCAGGGTGCGGGCGCGCTACTCAGCTCGCACGAGTTGCAGTTTAGTAACCGGACGTTGCCGATTTGGAGGTCGCGCAATATGTCATGGAATATCTTATACAATGTTTTGTTTTCTTCTATGGCGGTGACATTCGTATTTCCCTTTTCCGATGCTATTAGGCTCAAAAGACCGCAACCAGCTCCTAAAATGACAGTTTAAAATGATATTGTGTCCCCGGAAAGACTTCAGAATTGTAAAAAATCGGGGAAAGAATTGTTTACTTGGATGTTTGGAAGACAAAGAAAATTTTATAAAAACATCTGCTTTATGAAATTTATGAAAGATAATATATTAAAAAATGTTTACCAGATACCAATTATAATTGTGTAAAAATTGTCATAATTCTTATACAAATATTATACAGCTTAATAATAATTTACAATTGTTGCTATATATTATAGATATAATGAACTAATAACTAGTAATCGATGCTCCAAAACACACACGCAAAAAATATCGACGGTATCTCGTATCTCAATTAGTGTGTTAAAGTGGCATGGATGAAGGGGTTGAGTAACATTTTTAGGGGTGGTCCATAAAGTAAGTAACACCTTTTTAGGAGATTTTTGAAACCCCCTTCCCCCTGTCGGCCATAAAAGCATTACTAGTGCAAGATGTCACAAAGTCTTGACCCCACCTAAACGTCTGACCTACTTTATGGATGATATAGGACAACAAATATTGTAATGGAATACCAAATTAATTTTTGTATTATAATTACAATATTATTTGTACATAATTATTAAAAATGTTACTTAGCTCCTTTTATACTTATCCCCTTAATTTTCAGAAAACGTTTAAAATTTCCTTGTGACCATGGTCAATATATTGAATATATTAGAAATTTGATAGTTTTTTTAAAATATTTTTGAACAATATGATTATCAAATGCTAGATAAAATTAAGGATCTGAACATTGTGCACAGTTAAATATTAGCAGCCTACTAGTTCTTATTTTTGCACAGTATAAATATGCAATGCTAGGTAATACATCAAATTTGGTTGGTTAGTTTTATTTATGTCATAAATAAAACTAAAATTAACCAACCACCCAACCAACCAACCAAGTTAGCGCTCCTTATTTCTACCTAGCATTTATTTAATCTACTGTGCGCGTCTTATTTATTTATTGACTTGTCTCATATCATTGTATGATCTTTAGACCAATAAATATTATTATTAATTAATAATTTATTAAATACAAAAAAGTTTACTAAAGTGCTCTTGTAGTTCCACCCTTACTTCCTAAGAAGTCCCAGAATCCAACTGAATGGCTTGAGCGGGTTAGGGGTAGGAACGGACCGCGGGCTTAAAGTCCCCTCCGAAGGAGTATTACACAATAGGACAAACACAAATACTTAGCACATACATTTTGTACTGAGCTTTGATGGTTTCTACTAGGCCTTGTAATTCTTTACTTAGTAGGTATGACTATATTTTACTTAACAATGTAATAAATATTTAGCAAATAAATAAATTAGGTTTGTTCCAACCAAACATTTTGACATGTGCATTTCCAAATCTGACGTCTATCTGACAGTCTAAATGCTTGGTAGCAAGATACATACACATCCACAGTTGGTTTTAAACAAAAAAAGTTTTTGAAATAATCCATTTCGACCGTTTGCATTTTTGAATTACTCATATCAAAGACTAAAAACATACAAATTTTTAAAATATTCTAACGACTAGTTTTTTTTTATTTGATAGTTTGTAAAATTTTTAATGATTTATATTTTATGGTTTATTTTATTTTTTAACAGAAACAAAGTAAACAATTTATTTATGAAAAATTTAAAAATTAAACTTTTAGAATAGGTTTTTCTGTTTAAAATGCATATTTAATTTTTTTCATAAGTTGTACAGTAGAGTAGATATAAATATATTTTTTAGTACAAAAACACAACTTTGTTTTAAAATCGCACACCTTCTTTAAAAGTGATATTAAAAGTTTAATCATCTTGATATATTTAAAACCAATATAAGTTTTTATCTCCACGCGGTCTATAATTTAAACTTTATTGTTGTCAACATTCGATAAAGAAATACCGTACTGAGAATTTTATTTAAGAGATAGTTTTACAGCAATAAAATCAAACTGGTATGTTTCGTTTTAGTACCTACACGTAAAACTATTAAGAGCATCATATCCCTATTAAAAATGCCCTATAGAACCCATATTGCTCCAGATAAGGAAACTAATATGGATTTATATGGTTCTATATGTCCTATATGGAACGACCTGGTTTACACTTTGGAATCTATATGGTTTAATATGGAATTTCATTTTAAAATGTACAACTTAGGGATTTTTATATGGATTTATCTGGTTTCTGTTTTATGTGTCTTTCCATATAGGTTTCCCTTTATGGTTGAATATGGAATTCCATTTTAAAATGTATATATATTTAAACAAAAATTGCATATTAAACCATATAGATTCCCCTATATGGTTAAATATGGATCTATATGGTAATAGATTTTTCACGGCCAAACCATATTGGGCCAGATAGAGCAATATGAACCTATATGGCAATCCATATAGAAATCACTTTTCTATATGGTTTTCCAGGTATGGAATTCTATCTGGTTCAATAGTGCAATGCCTGTTTCAAATTCCTATATTGAACCAGATAGATTTTTATTTTGTGTTTCTATATGGCATTTTTAATAGGGATCTCTATTAAAAATGCCCTATAGAACCCATATTGATCCAGATAAGGAAACTAATATGGATTTATATGGTTCTATATGTCGTATATGGAACGACCTGGTTTACACTTTGGAATCTATATGGTTTAATATGGAATTTCATTTTAAAATGTACAACTTAGGGATTTTTATATGGATTTATCTGGTTTCTGTTTTATGTGTTTTTCCATATAGGTTTCCCTATATGGTTGAATATGGAATTCCATTTTAAAATGTTTATATATTTAAACGAAAATTGCATATTAAACCATATAGATTCCCCTATATGGTTAAATATGGATCTATATGGTAATAATTTTTTCACACCCAAACCATATTGGGCCAGATAGACCAATATGAACCTATATGGCAATCCATATAGAAATCACTTTTCTATATGGTTTTCCAGGTATGGAATTCTATCTGGTTCTATGGAATTCTATCTGGTTCAATAGTGCAATGCCTGTTTCAAATTCCTATATTGAACCAGATAGATTTTTATTTTGTGTTTCTATATGGCATTTTTAATAGGGATGGCTTGTTTTAAAAAAAATCTTTTAAAAAAATATAGTTTTTGCAAAAACCAATTTCTTGATTGAATTAAATATAATATTAAAAAAACAAAAGGAGTACCTACAAAATATTTTAATTTAAACACGTGTACAATAAATTAATAACAGTATTATATAATACATTTAATTTTATTTTAAATGTAAGATATTATAAAAGCAAACACTTTTTAACAGGGAATTTTGAAACAATGGGTTAGTATCCGCAACTTTGTATCTTTCCCAAATTTGTCCAAAATCGGAATGAACAGCTTCAGATGCCTGTTCATTAAAGTAACCTAATCCGACTTTCTTTAAATTACAGAAATGTTCTATATATAAATACGCAATGAATTTTCGGGGTAACATTTTTATTTAAAAGTAAGTATTTTTCTTTAAAATCTTTCAATAAATCTTTATAATTGGGGTTTAAATCATATCATCATCAAATCATTTCTGTTTTTATATTTTTGAATTTTAAATGATCTGTGTGATAGTAAATGTCTATTGTTCTCGATTTTACAAATTGTACATAAACACTTTTTATTGTTTTTATGATCATACTCGTATTCAAATAAAGAATAATCATAGAGCTTTATTTGTTTATTAAAATTACTTTTTCATATTCACTTAAAGTTATTCTGCACGACGTACATAATGAACACGGAAGTCTCACGTCATTAAAATCAAAGTCTTTAAGCAGGGTACAGACCAAAAAAAAGAGTTCGCGGGCTGCTCGTGAACAGCTTCCAAATTGAACCCGAGCAGCTCGCGAACGTGTCGTCCACACTAGAAAAGTTTGCATGTGAAGTTTTCTAGTGTGGACGACACGTTCGCGAGCTGCTCGGGTTCAATTTGGAAGCTGTTCACGAGCAGCTCGCGAACTCTTTTTTTTGGTCTGTACCCTGCTTAAAGACTTTGATTTTAATGACGTGAGACTTCCGTGTTCATTATGTACGTCGTGCAGAATAACTTTAAGTGAATATGAAAAAGTAATTTTAATAAACAAATAAAGCTCTATGATTATTCTTTATTTGAATACGAGTATGATCATAAAAACAATTGTGAACAGTTTCGGTGAGCAAATTCGTCCGAGTTCGTCGAGGGTTCCATATTATATAATTCCGTAATTCAAATTTAAACATTCAAATAAAAATAATGTCATCGCTGAAAAGCGATGAAGAAAGCGATCTAATAAAAGCTCTTGCGGCCTATTTTTTAATAAAACAAAATTCTTCGATTAACCAAACAATATCGTCCTCTGACCAGTTTATGTTTAAAACAGCTTTTTATTAAGGTTAATTATAATATTTACGGTGTTAAATAATAAAATCCCATACTGTCCAGCATAAACTAAATAAATAAATGCCAAACCACAGAGGTTCTACTCTGTGTGCAAAACAGTCAACGTCCACATGATACAAGGAACGTCCACACATAAACTACGCTCGCCACGTGTTTGCGAACAAACTCTTTGAAGTTACCGACTCGACCCGGAACTTGAACGAACAGCCGAGCTGTTCTAGAACTGTTCGCGAACTCGCGTACACACTAAGCTCGGAAAAGTGTTCGCAAACTATTCGCGAACAGCTCGCGAACTTGGTCTGTACCCTGCTTAAAAGATACTTTTTAATACAGTTTTTTTGGGCTAAATTAACCATTCGATGACATTTACTTTTAGAAAGACAAAGTAAACAAACTAATTTTCTCAACTTAGCTCAAACACCATTTTTAACAGTTTAATAACTTTAAAAAATTTTTGGATGTAAGGCAAAACAATATTTGACAGTTCTGTTAGCTTGTTTCAAACCATGGCACATAAATTAAAATCCTTATTAAGGGATTTCAGAATTTTTACACAACTACAAATACCTACAAATATTTCTTAAAATTAAGAATATTA